TTCTCTGACCTTGTTTATGATGCTGAACACGGATTTGGATTTGCCTAAAGGCATGGATTACAGATTGTTGCATCTGGTTGCAAAGTTCTGACCTCGGTGATGGAAGCTTAGCTTGCTAGCATGACGACTGTAGCTCAACTTCCAAGTAAGTGCACATTTTCAAAGTTTTGGATTGTACTTGACTATCATGACATCATAATCTTCTGAAGGTCATAAGAGGTATAAGATGTTGACATTTATCCGCATATATGAACTTTCATGCTGGCGGGTTTTAAAATCTGTATGGTCTTTTGTGAATGCTTGCGATGGATGAACATTTTTTATTTCAAATGTTCGCACCTGAGTTCATATTTTCACTTTCCAGGGTATGAGTCATACCTGCAAAATTGTATCGACATACTGGAGACCGTGTTTGAACACTATATCCAAAGTGATTGCCTCGAGGCATTAAGGTCTATACCCCATCGAATTAGATAGATTTTGCTCCGTCACTTTGATTTTCTCTGCTCTATGCATGATGCCTTTGGTCGACAATCCTTTCTTCATCATTAAGAACTGACTCGAGTCGCGGTTCTCCTTGTTCGAGGAGATTTTTTTGAAGTTTCCTGAAGCTTCCATCGAAATAAATCGATGGAAACTTCACGAAGAAATACACTGCAGCGTTATCAGTTTTCAATTTATACATTTGTAGTACATTATTTGCATGTCTTCTTTGCAATAACCGAATTCGTATGCTTATCTACTGAACTACATATATAGACTTGTTTTGAGTGGAAAACTTTCAAAACTGAAAAAACGATTTGTTTTGACTGTTTTACAGTTATTCTTCTATTCCTTGAAAGTGCCCAGGACATACCTCTAAAGATCAGCAATGAGAAGAAAAGAATGTATGCCTATCTTCGTTTGAATAGATTGTATTTTGAGCTTTGATTCGCTTGAGCAAGTGATAATGATGAACAGAAGACGGAGTACGTGCCACTAACAAATGTCTGTTACTTTTGCCTTGGATGTTCTTAGAATTTCCCCTACATGTACAGCCTATTGTACTCATCATCGTAATTTATTTATACATTACTTAATGGTTAATGTGACTAAACATACTTTTTGGATGACTCGAGATTCTCAACCCAGAGGTATGTTCAAGACTCATTAATTATTATTTTTGAAGTTACATGTAACCTTTTCAAGGTGTGAATGGGAACACACACATCGATAGTCATTATGAGAACCAAACCTGCTTTTGCAGAGAGAAGAATCTTCTGATCTACTACTGCCTAAACGGACTTCTGAGCTTATGTTCGCACCTGAGTTCATATTTTCACTTTCCTTTCACTGTCACTTTCACTTTCCTTTCACTTACTTTCACTGTCAAGTGGCCTGGCCTGACAAACTCTCTTGTTGCTATCGCTCAAGGTCTACAAATCTGATGCACCTAGATTTACACTTTTGTGTGTTTGACTTACATCCTGTAGTTGCGAACCTGAATGTGGACCAGCTACAGAGCGGAAAAGGATTGCTCTCGGAAAGACCTCCTTCCAATCTGGAAGATTTTCCTATACGTATTGTTGTTGACCAGCATTTTGGCTATTTTACTTGGGGCCTCCGGATTCCAACATTTGCTGCATGTTTGTGTGTGCAAGCTTTCTCTTCTCCCCTCGTTCTTCGGTGATGGACCCGACAGCACCTCGAACTTTGGCTTTTAGAAAATGAGCTTTTGGATGAAACGGAAAGCAACTTGAACATTGTTTTACAGTACTCGATAAATTTGCATATGATCCCCTCTATGATCTAGAGAAGTGTAAGAAAAGAGTCGAGCATCTTTCGCGTTTGCAGCACCATGAGGGTCGCAAAATATCCCTCAACTCCTTCTCGCCTGTCGTCCGACTTCAAGTATCATGATTTTGTTTCACATGGTCAAGCTTGATCTCCAGCCAGCCAGCCTTGGCTTTCGGGTGGGTAAGACCAGACGGCTCGAACAAAGAAGGCACATGAACTTAATCCGACAGCATCTGCCGAGCCACATTTCTCGGATGGCACACCCGGAGTATCTCTTACACCAAACTGGTGTCCACCAAGCTCAGAGTCTCCATAGTCATTATGAGAACCAAGAATCTTCTGATCTACTACTGCCTAATCGGACTTCTAAGCTTCTGTTTGCACCTGAGTTCATATTTTCACTTTCCTCCTTCATTGCATGCTCGTCTTTCAATGCTGATTTTATAACTACTTTCGCTTCTCTGAGAATTTGAGGAACCATCAGTGGAGAGGAGGTTAACTGGGTGGTGATATGACCGACCCTTCACACCCTCTTCATCAAACACTAAAGTAGATGGTCTTCCCTCGGTTTACCAGCAATGATAACACGGCGGATTTCCTGAAGAGCGGAAGAGGAGAGTTGCTCTGACTGGCAACGCTACGAAATCTTGTCACCACATGTGGCATTTTGATAGTCAGTTTCTCCTCTCGTGGTCAATTAACCTGTTTCTCCACAAGATAAAACTCTCTTTGCTGTAGAAGGTAAGAAGGGAACTTTGCCATCACAAGGAATAGAATTTGACAGTTTGTAGTTAAGCTCATTCGAGGATGAACTTCCAGTGTGGCAGGCGTTATATCTGCCATTGTCTCTTCCTTTTTTCAAAGTGCCACTCTTTTGCTCACCGAGTCTACTGCCGGAAATTGAAGTAAAACATGACACATGAAAGCCACATTGATTACAGTACACGCGCTAACCAGTTTGCTCTTAGACTGCAGGCTCCTTCTCTAGAATGAATTCAAAAAGAGAACATGACTTCATTTCCACCAGAAGATTCAACAAAGCACCAAACTGAGATACCGGTGACCTGAACCATCATTATTGAGTAGATCAAGCAACTTTCTCCTTCAGTTGTCACTTGATTTTAAAAGGGTCTCAGTTCTTGCAAGATCCAAGCAAAAACTCCTACATTTCCTCCGCAGCCAACCTCCCTGCTGCTTTCACATCCCCTATTAAGCTATGACTACCAGACTAGTAAGCTACAACTACCACACTAGTAAAGGTAGATTTACCAAGTAATTCTAATAACAGTAAGGGTAACTTTTATAACTTTTAAATCAGTACCGGGTAATTACCCTGAGGGTAAATTAAAAGCTAAAGGTAGATCATATTGCTACGTGTAAGGTAAAAGGTAGAGGCTCATGCGTTACCCGGTTACCTTTTACATTACCTTGCCGAGGCATAACCGCTCCATCTTGGAGATGTCGCTTGAGGAGGGAATAATGTCACAGCTACATCAAGGCAAGGTAACTTGGTGATGCCGACATCTCCTCAATGCGACCACCATCAAAATATGGCAAGGTAAGCACAAGGCAACTCGGCGGTAGGGACATCGCGGCAATGCGACCAAGTCTCGGTATCTCGCCTGCGCAACCTTGTCTTGGCAGCTCAGCATTCTAGGTTAGATCAATATAGGACAGCTCGGATTATGAAAAGAGAAGAGTGTCACTTACTTCAGCACATGAACACCAATTGATGGATCAATGAAGACTTGTAATTTTGTCTAGTATTGCTCTACTGTTTTTTACCACTTGTGTTCCTCTCTCGCTAGGTTAGTTGCAGCAAGACATTCCCGACTTAGCCCAACCTTGCCTCGTCCATAACAGAAAGTAGTTGTAGATTTGACTTCACGTCTTTTACCAGCACCTTCCCTTCTTTGTACCAGTAGGGTTTGCTCACTTTACATCTTTAGAACGACTAGAGACTTTCCACATGCGATATTTATGTCGGGAATTTCAGTTTTTGGGCCTCAACTATTGAATCTGTCTACGTACTTTTCTTCCATAGAGTGGCCATTTACTGCGACATGTACCCAAGTTCAATACTGACACCCCCTGTCAGTATTGAACTTGGGTATTGTGTATTCAGGTTTTGACCCTAAAATTAGCCGAGGTTTTAAATACGGTAACAGACCAAGACCGGGGGACCCAAAGTCAGAAGGCTGAATACGCAATACAAGCGAAAACCGTAAACATGGAAAAAGATCCAAGAGTGGGCTGTAATTATCATCTGTTTTCTATGTGGCTTTTATTCAGAGCAATTGTGTGCATTTTACACAACACGAGAAACTTTCTTGCTCTTCAAAGGTTCACCGTCCTCGCGCACTACCCAACTTAATTTCGTTTTCTCCCTTTCACGGCGATAATTATGTGAACTCACCAGGTCTTGGGTAAGTGAAGGGAGTGTCCAATTTATCTGGTTCGGAATAGTAGCAGAGCGTTAGAACGCAGACCCGAAATTTCTGGTATTTTAATTCAGGATATTATGTGTTGACAGTGACGAGTGCTGGTTACAAATCGGCACTCGAAATTACAGGTTCTACACTTGGCCGTAGATCTGATGTTGAGTTTTCCTTCTCTTGTACAGTCGACTCTGCTCGCCTCGCACGATCCACAAATTCATTGAAACAACGAAAGGCCAAGTCAAGCCACCGAAACGGGTTCATTCAGCAGATTCAATGGCTCCAAAACTATTCACAGTGCAATGATGCGGCGCAAATTGATCTTTCAATCTTCATATCTACGGCAACACAAACCATCCGCGTTTTACAAAGATAGATGAGCCAAAGACACAGTTGGTTCACGAATGGAAAAAACGGATCACTTAACCAAAAAATAAGCGCAACAAAATTCACGAAAAACCCATGCATTTGTTCTACTCGAAGGGAATGAAACTCTCAGTGATTTGGACGGCCATACCCCCCTTCGACGGGCAGCTCTGAGAGCAAATTCACGGAAAGTACAGAACTACTTCATCTCCTGAAAAAAGCTCTATAAAGCTATATTTGCTTCCACAAATTTCAGAGGGACAAATGACCGCCCTCTTAAAATGTCACCTTCACCCTCACGCAGGAACATAGAACAACATAGAAATTGTGCTTGCAAGACAAGATTCAGGACGTAAAGTGAAGTACGCCTACCTGACTCAATATAGGACCTGCGCCTTGCAAGTTTCCAAGTCCAGCAATGAAAAGTAGAAACGAGAGGTACAAGTTTTATTTCTTTCACTTCTCCTATGTTCGAAGACCTGCAATGGGCATTTGAACAGGTATCCAAGGGGAGGGCAGCCTACTGACTCACATGCCAAGGTCCACAACATATTCGCGAGCTCAAATACGGTACAAATCGCCTTAAGATTCTTCGAATGTACTTCCACTTTATAATAGACAAGACATACAGTGCGGCTTTGGTTGGGAGTCAAAAATTGAGTAGGATCCAGTGCGGGCAAGGCGTGTGGGATCCCTGTCTCGGGATGGCCCGAGCTGATACCGAGCTTTGTGTTCATGAGTTCCCGATCGCAAGCTGCTTCCTGATGAGATCCTCCCAGAAATCATCGTCTACAACAGCTCTCCGTACTGCCGAGAAAGAATCCCTCCCCTCTTATGCCTCAAATTCGCTAAGTAAGTCTAATTTAGAGAACACTATTCTAGGCAGCCCTCTGGGCAGCTTCCTTGGCAATAATTTTCTCCTTGATCTTAGTCTTAGCCTGGGACTTGACTCCCATAATACCTCCACCCCATTGCTTGCGGTATTCATCATATCGGTCGTTGAAGTTGGCCTGCAGTGGCATTCATACACAGTTGTATGATGATACAAAAATGAATTTTTTACACTGACTGAGTTTCTTGATGGCATTTTGACATGCAGTACAAACTTCGGGGTTCACGCAATGAATACTAAACTGTAACACAAATCCATTTTCGATTTTGGATCGACGGAATCATTTGAGAGAATGTCAAGCAATACCTTCACAGCTTCGACAATCTTGCTGAAGTCGTGCTTGTCCTCATTCTTCACTGAAGTAAGGCACAAGGCAGTGGCGGTCTTGCTGTGAATAATTTGGCCAAGTCTGGACTTGCCCTTCACAATAGCGTATGGAACACCCATCTTGCGGCAGAGGGCGGGTAGCCACACAACTAGTTCAATAGGGTCAACATCGTGGGCAATTACCACCAATTGAGCCTTACCCTGAAACGCAGACAAATAAGGGCATAAGTAAGATGGTTGTTCAATTGCACTTGCGAATGCTCAGTTCAGATACGAACCGCGGGGCATAATTCACCCAATACAAACCCTATTGGAAAATCGTAGGACGATTCAATGATGACTTACTTGCTCAATGAGGTAGGTCACGTGGTTGATACCGTACTTCACGACTATTGGTTTCTTGGTCTCGACAGTCTTGCCCTCGGCTTCGGCCTGGGCCTTCTTGAGAAGCCTCTCCTTCTTCGCAGCCTTGTCCTCGGGTCTGTACTTCAACAACATCTTGAACAAACTTGCAGCTGCACATGGACATAAGTGTCAATTAGCTAATGAGATCGGGTCAAGACGGGAGACCAACGATATAAACGACAACACGAAGAATAAAGGCATCGCTACGATTGCGTTCCGGGACGAGAGGTCATATATCAGAGAAAAAAGTACTAACCCAAGTTCTTGTCGAGTGTCTTGGTGAACTGGTTAAGGGCCGGTGGAACCTTCAAACGCTGGTTCAAGACACGGCGTTGTCTCTGGATGCGGACGTACTTGGGCCATTTCACAAATCGGTGGAGATCACGCTTGGGTGGAAGGGCGCCACCAATACCGAACTGCTTCGGCCTCTTCTCAAACAAGGGGTTCGCGACTTTCTCTACTACCTACAACGATAGGCATGGTGAGACACAGAGGGCAGAGAAAATCGAATCCAATCATTTCAGACCTGGAATACCTGACAGATATCCGAAAGCCGCCGACAAGTTTAAGTTCAGGGCACATTCAAACGAAAGGTACGACTCCAAAATTTTCTTACGATAGACTAATTTCAGATCGCAGTTCCCCGATGTGTTTTGAGTATCCAGTAGCACGAGCATTAAATACTATACACTGCGTGAAGTCGCTGTGGAGCACTTTAAAATTAGACGCCCCAATAAACTGGCGTAGGTTGAAAGATTTCTAAATGTGCAGTCGAATTTGGTCAAAATTTCGTTTTCAGCTTCGAACCACTTTGTTAATTGTTGCAATTCAGGGTGTGTACAGACAACATACCTTCTTCTTCTCCACAGGAGCAGGGACAGGAGTCTTGATAGTTCCCCGCTTAGGAGCCTACATGAAACGAAATCAACCTCAGTCACATCGCCTTCACGTGATCAAACGCTGCAATTCCTCAAGCTTCTAAATGAAATTAATAAAACCAAGCCCAAGTCCTCCACAGACTATGAGAGCATCAGAGAAATCCATCACGCCTAGGAAACCCTCGGATCATCACGTTCAGAGAAACACAGTAAAGAAATCTGTCAATCACTAATTCTCACCATCTCTGCTAAACCCTAGAACCCGGAGCTCCAGGGAAAAAAAGAAAAAAACACGGAATTTGGTCTACGAAAACACAATGTGACTGTCACTTTCAGACGAGCACCGAGCGCAAAGCAACGAGAAATGTCGCGAAATCGGATCGAAGTCTCACCATTTTTTTCGAAACCCTAGGGTGTGCAGCTGAGAGACACCCTGCTCGAGCTGACGATGAAAGAGGGGAAAGAGCGAGTTCTTCGACGGACTTGGAATAACCAGTTTCCCGACGAGTTCTCTGTCAAACCTAATTGAGGGCTCGTGCTGGCCGTCGATCCTGCGGACGATCTTCCCGATCTTAGGGCTCACACTCTTACCGTCATTCGGTCGCACTTTCGGTGGATTTTCGCTCATTCCCCGGCCTCTGGAGATTCCGCTGTTTCCAGTCTTTCCGTTTCCGCTTCTGCTTTGTTCCTCTTTAGATGGGTTAACCATTAAACCAGGGTTAACACATTCTGGGTTGTCTTTAACTCGGGTTGATACCATGTTGGGTTTGATTTATTTGCTGTTCTTCATCCTCTTCTTATTTCTTTTCCTCATTACTCTCGCGTTCCCTACGTTGGTCAAACAGGTGATCACTCTTGTGTATATTTTCTGGTCCTTTTTAGCTTTTTTCTCCTTAATTCTTACCTTCTTGTCTTTTGTCGTTTTCTACTGTATTTTCTTTTATTGAGATATAGTGTTTTTCGTCCTTGTTTACTTACATGGGAGATTGACATGACAATATTTTCAGATGTACTATTTCGAATTTCAGCCTAGAAACATTGGGTCTTACATTCAATTCATTTGATGGACTTCCATGCTTGGAAGCAATCTACGTCATGTCAAGCATCAAGTTAAGACCAGCAAAGGAGTCAAACACATGAACTGCCTCAACTTATCTGGCCAAACGAATTGAATTAAAATTATACTTCATATTGCGAAATGTTCAACAACATAAACTTATTTAGATGCCGAAACTGAAGATTCCATAGCATGATAAAATTCATGTTCTATATGATTCGGAATATATTTCAAACAGATTTCCTCACATACATGATGTATCTCAACATCCACGTCTATAGGAATGTCTGAAGGTATTGAGTTCTTATTTAATTCCTCATGCTTTTAACTACTTCATTCAACATTCAGGTCATTAAGTAGTTCTTTTAGCTTATGTCAAACTTCGGATCGACTCAATATGTTCAAAGTAAAAGTCACTCAGAAGTTAGACACGTTGGCATATATCACAAGGTTTGATTAGTATGTGTATGTAGGATGCATGTTAAACTACAAAAAGATATGAACTATTTGACTATATAAATCATAGGACCTAGAAGATTAATCAATGAAGTAAGACTCAAATATAAATTTAATAATCAATAAATATTTTTAAAAATTCAATTGATTTTATTTTCTATCTATTGAAAGAATTACACATTGGATAGATCAAGATAAAGCTAACAAAATCATAATGTGAGTAATCGATTATAATTCAAAAAATAATAATTTTTCGCTAAATTTCATCCACTATGATTATGGGATTCTCCGAATTTTAATTTGATAAGAAAAATGAGAACGATATTTCAACGATATTAATTAATTCGTTATGTTTTAATTATAAAACCTGTCTCAGCAAGCCGCCCTAGCTCAGTTGGTAGAGCGCAAGGCTCTTAACCTTGTGGTCGGGGGTTCGAGCCCCCCGGGCGGCGCCTGATTAACCCACCCATTGGGAAGTTTTGATCATGCATGTCATCTAGAATGCGCTGTTGTGCTCAGTATTTTTACCCCACCAAGGTGCAAAGCTCAGTTACTCTTGTGTTATGACGAGTTCTTGTAGTGGATAGAAGAGAGAGTATGGATGTGAAGTTTAAGGAAAAATTTTTTAACAACAAAAGACTAGTAGAGAAGAATCATAGGAAAACAAAAATATATCATAGATTAAAAGTATACTCATAGGAAACCTTCAGCTGAGCTTCAAAGTTTACTTTCTTCTATTGACATGATACGGTTGGAAACCTCTATTATTACGATCGGATATGCTCAATTCCATACTATGAAATAATCGAATATAACAAGTTTCAATTTGCTTCGACTCTGTTTTATTAATTGCAGTTGTCACGAGATCGTTAGGATCTCGTAGGTCATGCTTGTTTGATATGCCAGGAGCTTACAAGCCACTTATTTGCAAATAGATACGCTTCTTAAAACTTACAAGCTATTTGCAACAAACAACAACAACACGGTGAAAACTATCAGGAACACCTGTTCTTGCAGACGTCGGCATAGGAATAAACACTTTTGCTAGCATTGAAACTTGAAATCTCACGGAGGTCATATGGGTGTGAGAAATATACAACAAAATTGCAACTTGGGGATGCACTGCTTATACACAATGTTGTACCCAAGTGTATCATATGCACTTCTGATCTACTACACGGATTGGTGCACAGTTAAATATTTACTACTCATTCGTTAACGAAGCGATGTCAGAGTGTGAAGGCAGTTGAGAGGAATGAATTCAGCATCTTGTGATTATACTCGATTAATCACCACCACAAGCTTGTTTATGGTATACACGCTCGAGTAACTGTCGGCTTCTAAACTTTCAGTGGTTTCAGAAGTGGAATAGTCCACGGAATCGGAATTAGCAGCTTCAGTGATGACATTGGGTCCTCCTCTTTTAAAAGGGAAGGCGCTGATTGAAAGCTTGAGCTATAGGAGATAGACAACTCCGGTTATTACCTCTACGCGCAGGATCAGATCTACTTCCATCACCACAGACAGGAGCGCATTCCTAGTTCATCGTACACTCATGTTTTGAAAGTACTTGCAAACACGTATACCATAATATTCTCAAAATGGAGCGGTTGAGACTAGTTTATAGTTTAGCTCTGAATCTGGGGATCCCTTTCAGGTGCATTCGAAACACCATCATCCGTCGAAAATTAGCCAACAAGCTCCATGTGTACTCGGAGATTGAAGAGGAATTCGACCAGAAAGCTTGAACGTTCACTAATATTCCAAATGACAGAAAGGTATCGGAACAGTGATCAAGTTAGCTAGGTTGTAGCATACAACTATCGTGGTCGAGTACGAGATTGCAACGGAAGATGGAGAATGAAAACACAAATGAATCAGAATTGGACACAGGCCACAGTTTTTTCACCGACTAAACATTCCCAAAAAAAGACAGTTAACTTCCTGCAAAATCGAAAGGTTGACATGACTAATAAAGGGCTCCTTGTTACTTTCATTCCTCTAGTGAAGAGCTAGGGTTGGACGACGTGGTCCAGTTTTACATTCAGCTCTCTTAAATCAGAGTACTGGTAAGACGAATTTCTGTTACACATTTACCCAGGTCAAAATGGGACCCAGGATAATCTAAATTGGTATGCCATGATTGCGTGCCTGGGCAACAAAACCATTTCAGAGTAGACCATGCTCTCTTCCTATACAACTACATTATCCACTTGGGACTCTTCTTCGAAGAATTCCCAATCAAATGAAGGGCTTCGTCTAAGCATACCAAAACTGCTCGTGAAAAATCACCGTATTTAAGAGAGTGGCCGGTAGCCACTGCTGCTGCTGCAATTCTAAGGAAGCTATGATACAACCAACCGCAACGCTGGGGGTAAGGTGAGACAAGGTATGAAAGGAAGTCATGATGATAATTCACAAAACAGGTGAGCCATCATCAATTCCATCGTCGGCGTCCGATTTGACCTTCCGAGAATTTTCGTGGAAATTCTCGTCCTCCTTCGGCCTCGATCGTTTCCTCTTTAGGCCTTTCCAATTGTCCGAATTGACCTGCAACGTTCTGCTTACACTAATCTCCTTCTCGGGAGTTGCCGTAGCTTCTGCATGTGCTCCAGACGATCTCTTCGCGTTTCTTTCCTTCCCTTTCATTCCTCGGAATGTGTTTTTCCCTCCGATTGCTTCGTCGTCAGAATCCGCCTCCACGGTCACCTCGCAATTGTCGTCGGCGTCTGTTTGTCCTCCATCTTCGGCGCCGGCTCCGTCCGAGCCATTTACCTCAGCCTCTTTCTTCTTCAGTCTCTTGACACGTTGAGACTTGACAGCCTCCATTACGTCCTCTCCCTTCTCGATAGCTTTCATCCATTCGGAGTCGCTCAACACGTCCGCATACAAAACCTCCTTCCTCTTTCGTTTGCCGGGCATTGATGTGTCCGCCGCAGCTCTGGCAGCCTCTTCGGCTTGAGCAACTTTTGAATGCTCTGCGCCCAGAAATACCCAGTCCGGTACTTCATGCTCTTCGATTAGTCTCGTGATGTAACCCTCCTCTTTCCGCCTGACCTCGTCCATTTCCTCAAACATCTTATACTCTTCGTCATTGCGTGCAGCCAGCCGATTGATCTCCCTTTCGCTTGGAACGTCCGTTCCCAGAGCATCTGCGCCACGGCGCATAATTTCCTCCAACATTTCCCTCCTCTCCTGGGCTGCAAGTTGCAAGTCAACTGGATCTAAGCTCCTGATTCTTGTACGCAGGCTTGGGACATAACGAAAACTGGTAGAATCCTGATGACGTTTTCCAGAAAATTTTCTAAAAACTTTTGTACTCATTCAAGGACTTGATAGCAAAAGATGGCAGTCATTCAGTGTTCACTCCCCGAATTCTAGTATGTATAAAGGTCATGACAAGGACAGCCACAATCATATATTTCTACATCACAATCTCAGAGGCCGGAAATTTATGTTCGTTCTTTGGCATCGGTGTTCACATTATGTCCTACCTGTCGAGGTTGTGTTGAACAATCCAGCTTGAATAACCTTAGCGTCAATTCCCATTTTTGATTTCGCTCGCTCCAGAATTTCTTCTTCAATTGAACCAACGCTCACGAGAACAAAAACCCGTACCTCCTTCTTCTGCCCAATACGATGAGCCCTATCCTCTGCCTGCTGATCCATTTGAGGATTCCAGTCACTATCAAAGATAATGACCGTGTCAGCTGTTTGAAGATTCAGACCAAGACCTCCGGCTCGCGTGCTGAGAAGAAACATGAAGTACGGCGAATCAGGGGCATTGAATTTTTGCAGCAGAACTCCTCGCTCTTCAGTCTTGGTGGTTCCGTCAAGGCGAAGGTACTTGTAACCATGCCAATCGAGATAATCCTCGAGAATGTCCATTAGACGAGTCATTTGAGAGAAAAGCAGAACGCGATGGCCCCCTTCCCGAAGTTTTGGCAACAGCCGGTCCAGTAGCTCAAATTTCCCAGAAGAGCGCACAATGAGATTGCCTAAGCGCGAAGTGTAATCTCCACCCTCAAGGAAGAGAAATGGATGGTTACAGCATTTTCTCAACTGCATAGCCGTATTTTGCAATCCCCGTGATTTTCCAGAGCCTGTACAAGGTAAAAGCACAACACAAATAGTCGTTAACCCATATAGCCTCGACAGACACATTCCTACTACTCTGAAGATCAGGCCGTCTATGTTTAAAACTGGCCCATCTAGCTCGTAGCCGAGCCTCCTGACCAGTATTACCTTGCAACACTAACTGAATTCTTCAAGTAATCTACCGGACGATTACTTCAAAGCAAATGTTGGTGTCCATAAAGCAAGCTAGATTAGTGGATCTCAGACACAACTCGAAACACGTTTTCAGCTGGGAAACAAGCAATAGCAAGAATACCATCAGAATCTTACCAGAATCTAGTCCAACACGTCCGGAATCTATAATCTGCTGATAGTATAACCTTTGCCATGAAGAGAGGTCGCATTTAAGGATAACTTGTGTCTTGCCAGGTAAATATTTCTCCACTTCAGCCTTCTTCCTCCTCAACAAAAATGGGCGAATTACCTGATGAATGACAAGACATGTTTTACTAATCTGTCGAAATATCTCGAGCTCAACTTCTGCTATCAAACGCATAAAGATAAATCTTAAGGAGAGAAATGAGCTATATTGTCCACTGCTTGAACCGCCAAAAGCATGAAAGTAATGGCCACTGATAACTGAAGCCACTAATTTGATGGCAGGAAGCACATATAGTTAGCAAAATTCTTGCTTCTGAGCATCTGAGAGAGCAGCCAAAATAAAGAGCTTTTTCTAGTAAAAAAATGTACACTTGCTAAACTTTAGTAAAATAGCTAGACAGCAATCCTTGGAAAAGGCAGAGAATGATTCGCTACAAACATCAGACAAGATAATGGGATCTGACGATACTACCTGGTACTAAAGTGAAGAGGATTTGAAAATTTAACCTGATGCAAACGACGAATAACCAGCAGTTGTTCTTCGTCAGAGAGTGAGACCTCTGAACGGTCTGCAAAGGGTGCATTGAACCACTCCTCAAAATTCTGACTTGAGTTGAATATTGCAGGCAACAAAAAATTCAGTAGTGACCACAACTCCGAAAGACTGTTCTGGATAGGGGTTCCAGTCAGCAAAAGTCTTCTCCTAATGTGATATCTGCAATAAAAAGGTTACAAAACTTAGACAGCCAGCAAACATGGCAACAAACGAAAGTCAACGATGGCAAGACAAAAAGTGTCCTTCAACAAGGTTCGCAAAAGTTCTTCCAGATGAGCTTTATGTCTGGCTCATTCAGTCAAATGTGACTTTTATAGGTCTAAAACCTTCTTGTCGATGTGGTCCGAAGCTCACAGCTAAATAACACAACTTCTTACCCTGTGACCAGTGTACGCGAAAGCATGCAGTCGTGATTCTTCAGACGATGCCCTTCATCGACAATCATGTAGTGCCAATGAATTTTCTTCAAAAATGCTTTGTCACGCATGATCAGGTCATAATGAGTAACCAGGACATTGAATTTGCCTTCGTCACCGTATTCCTCACGCATAGCCTTACGATCCTCAATACGGCCATCGTAGAGTACTGCAACGATACTGGACCAAAAAAACGAGCACCCACTATTTTCTATCAGATACAGTAACCACTCCAAGCATAAACAAAAAGGACCTGGAAAAAATTAGCACTTGATGTTGAGCAGGGGATATAGTTGAAAAGACTCTTGACCCCATCCTCCATTGCGCAAACTCTTCGTCGTATACTTCAGTAAGAACAAGGTAATTAGAGAGTCATTGAAGGTACAAAGAAAGAGAACCTTGGGGCCCAAGTTGCGAACTCATGCTTCCAGTTCGGTAGGACTGCCTTCGGGGCAATGATAAGGTGTGGTCCGTTCAGATTTTTGTTTTCCATCAAATATGCAAGAAGAGCGATGGTCTGAATAGTCTTGCCAAGCCCCATCTCGTCGGCCAATATTCCGTTGAGGTTGTTATTATACAAAGACAGCATCCATTGGAGCCCTTCAATTTGATATGATCGTAGTGTACCTCCTTCAAGCATCGACGGCTGTTCAGTGACCTGCATCATGAGGACAAATAGCTTCGTAAGTTTAACGTTGATGCGATTTGATGATAAGGTACAAGATTCCACGGTGATCACTAAACCATAAGATTTGGTATTTATCATATAGAAAACAATAGCGTGCCCTCTTCCAAGTAATCGTTTCATCCATCTATTATAATAAAAAAATTCGGCTCTTCGCCATAGAATGGCTTCATCGTCGCCACTATACGAGCTTATTACGCGAAATAGGCAAGAGAATATCGGGAAATAGACATGAATCCCATAATTCCCACTATCAGATCGTGCGGAATCGGCGAAGAGCGAAACACTTAAAGAACTTGCGAAGACACATTATACATATTCAAAAGCACTTTCACCTTCTCCTCTATTGAGTGGACGGCAGAATTGTACTGGCGCTGCCCTTCCATCAAATCCCTCTTGGCCCCTGTGCCATCGGGATGAAGTTCAAGCAGACTGTCATTATCCTCCTCTGGAGATGACCCTTCTTTTACAGTGGTTTTATCTCTGAAACTAGGAGATGCAACTTCTTCAGTATCTCTTTCACTGTCTTTCCCCTTTAATCTCGGTGAGGCAGCATCTGTTGGTTCTCTTCCGGTATCTTTGGCCTTTTGAGGTTTCTCCTTCTTCAAAGGAACTTCTGGGTCGGCATCTTTTTGCCTTTGTACCATTGCCCCTAACTTTTGAAGAAGGTCATCCGTCTTCGACAGTAACGTTGTGAGACGTTCATTCTTGCTCTCCTCGACCATTCGCATGTAGGCCTCTTGATCATCTGCCTTCAGCGCCTGGAACCGCATTCTCTCTGCTCGTGACACACGTTGTCTTTGCTTTGTATGCCACGCCTGTAACAAAAAAGGACTGAGTCGAGAGCTTGGCATCGTGCAGCATAGATGATGAACGTGGCACAAAAAATTAGTTTCAAACTTTTCAGCTTTTATAAGATCTAAGAGCTTAGCTGAAAATTGAGATGTTGAACCAACATTACTTCATACATTCACATACAGCTATGTATGACCCGTCATATTTAGGGGACGTTTCATAATATACTTTGTTGTGATGTAGGACATGCAAAAGACCCTGGGACATGCCCGAGCGCTAATCCTACATTACATAGAGGGACCCATCCATAAACCGGTCTGTGGATACTATGAGAATCAAAACTCAGAGGTTTCTTATGAAACAAAATCGGCACGCGAGTGTCGTAAATATCGACCTGAACACCATCGTTCCGCTGTTTCCGCCTCTTGGCAGCAGCTTGCCCATTTAGCTGGAATTCACGGACTAAGTTCAGCATCTCGTTGAAGAACTTCCTCTTTCTTGTAGTGATTCGAAGCTTTTCCTCCTCTTCTATCCTTCGTTGTCTCTGTAGATGGAGAAAATCCAGTTAGCAGTTTGAAGTTCGAGGGTTAAGATGCAAAACAATCATACTTGAGTAGGTTTGAAGTCTTGAAGATACAAACCTCCGCTTTTCTTTTCCTGCGAAGTCGTTCATCTGTCTCAGACGACGAGACACCAGGAATCAAAGAAGCGTCTTGTCCAGATAAGGCACTCATGTTCCTTCGTAACCGCATTAAGCCCCAGTCGAAGAGCATCGCATCAGGACTACCACATATTTGTTGTAGGTGCAACTCCGCCGCCACTTCAGATCTAACTCTCATTTGAAGACCTAGCAGCTGCATACATGAAGACAGATCAGAAGAAGTAAGCTCGACGAATTTCATATTAAGGAAAACGGATAAATATAATCATAGAGTTCCGACAGCTGGCTGGCGGAAACTACAGCACCTAAAACTAGCCATCGCATGGACATTCATCCCAAGTAAAGAACATAAAAAGGATATATGTAGCTGAAACGAAGATGGGGTGGTGGACAATGTGACTAAATGCTCTCATGGCCCAAAGCTCAATCATATCAACTAAATTCCCAACAACCCTCAGATTGAGCGTGTCCGAGTATTCAGCTCTTTCAATTTCATGATAGGCCTCTGTAGAAACTTCTGCAGTTGTTTTCTACCATCAACTCCATGTCGTTATCACACATATATAATTATCTCAACGGTTTGATCAAAGTAGGACAAAAGTAAGACAGACTGAAAACCTCGCTGCACTATGAGCGGATTAGAAGCCCTGTTTTTTTCTTTTCTAGAGAGCAAACGTTTGTTCGTAATGAAGAAGCAGGAGATCGATCTTCAATGTGGCCAAGTCAAACTTACATTCAGTAAACCATGAGCTCAACATCCAGCAAAAACAGAAATGAACGGCCAGTAACATACCACAGCCACATCTTTATTGCACCAGAGAAATAAATGCACTTATCTTATGCAAGGTCATAAATTACCCTACCTTTAAAGTGTGTAACTCCAAGAGACATTGATCGCGAACATCGTCCTCTGTTTCAGGAAGTAAACCTGAGTTGAATGAAATAAAGAGCGTCAGTTTAAAACCTGTAATTTCACAATACTCTTCATCATCTGATGCTAATTACGTGGAATATTCTCCGGTGTACATGCTCAACCTGTGTTCTGAGAAACAGATAATATATAGCTTCCCTCATCCGCTGGACAAATATATTCTGGAACTTTGCACACCTCCAACTCAGGGGAATGAGAGCCTACAGTGCATACGTACTGGGATATGTAGCATCCAGCTGGTACGAAAGTGATGAAGAAAGGAAAAATTAATTACAATATTCAGAATTTGAAACTCCAAGACTTCATATTTGCAAGTTGAAGCCTTGAAGGTGACTAACCTTCGAGCTCCTGTATCCTATATGCCAGTTGACTATGTACGCGACGGTCTTTCTCTGCTTTTAAAGCACTTGCACACTTCAAACGTGATCGCTGCAGGTCCACAGCATCCTCAAACTCTTCTAAGAGTTTTCCGTGTCGCCATGCGCCGGTCTGCACAGGCAGTAGAAATTGCGGAGATGAACAGATTGGACGGTTATGCCATCCTTGAGAGTCAGGTGGGCATCATGAAGAAGTGAAGAAGAGTGAACTACTATCTGAACAAGAGTGACAGAAAGTGCTCAGACCTCCGTATCAGTGTCTGAGACTGCTGTGTCTTTAGATCCTGCGGCAACTTCGTGTTCTTCGTGGTGAGCTTTTATATCCTCATCTGTAAAGAAAGCCGAGATTGTAGCGTCAACTTTCTGACATGTAACGAAACGCTAGAGTAAATAGAAAAGGTTCCTTAGCGAATCTAGAACCAGATTAAAGAGTGACGAAGACAGGTCCTTCTGAGGAAATCCTTCTGGTTCACTTGCCAGCACAAAAGTCGTCGTTACAGAAAGCATGCCAAACAAAAGAGAACGAAAAAACTATGGTGAAGGGATATGTGAAGGAGAAATTCGTTCAAATTCAGATGGTAGCTGCCCAGGAACATTTAGTCCAGCTAAGACGCATCGAGGAAACAATGCTATAAAGCCACGTTTTAATGAGCGCACTCATAGAACTAGACACATCTCATGATAACCGACAAAAAGCAAAATCTGGTGCTTTCATTGTTAATCCTCCGTAGTTCTTATCAGATTATAGCAAAAACTGGTAACGTTATTGATGACAGTCTTACGTTAGATCAAAAATCTCCATGTTATTCGAGGACGATCAGATGATTATACCACCTAATTGTTCAAGCCCTCAGACTTTTCCACAAAATTTTCCTCATCCACCAGAATAGATTGTTTCCTATCGTCAATCCTTATGATATGTGGGTCCAAAGACCTCTTGAAGGTGATCACAGGGAGGAAAAGATCTGATATAATTGTTCAATTCTTCGGAGAAAATATTCTCGCCTGTATGAAAAGCACATCCTTCACCGTGCAAGGACAGAGTGTAATTGAAGAGACATTAAGCGAGAAACTCAGGACATCCAACATAATATCATGTGACGCGAGTGTACCTTTAAATTCAACCCTTCCTTCCGGCATCGGCTCACGAGAAGCAGGCGGACGAACAACTCTAGTCTCCGAATATATAGGATCATCATCTGACCCCACAGTAGGCACCTCATCTTCTTGAAATTTCTGCTAATCACAAATCGTAAACCAAAAAACATCATCAATAAATTGAGGCTAGAGTGGGATTTGAATATTCCGACAGTTTCAGTCCCCACTTGCTTCCGATAGATTTGATGTCCGGAATTGTCGATGTTGCATCAAAAAGCGAACCATTAAAACAAGAAGAGAATTCGGCGTGAGTATACCGGTATATTCCGTACTGACTGTACATGACGTACGGAAGGAGACTACTTATTCTTCTGATACGCTCTCTACACGCAGATTAATGAGACCCCATTCAAATCTGATGTCGTTTGCAAGTTGACTGACCGCATCAGCGTCAACTACATGGACAGGGCATAGAACATATCAATGCCGTATGTTACAAAAGTACCCTCCAGAATCTCATGTCTCGGGAAGTATACTTCCGAGCTGTAAGGTTACAATATATGGAAGGGACCACTTGAGTATTCGGACAATGACGGCTGCTCTCCTGCGGAGGGGTTTCAGAGATTTAGACGGCGTCCAGGGACGTCAGAAACTTAAGCCAGCCTCAAAGTATGCAGAAGACACTTGTGCGTTCGAACGGTGAGCGTAAGGATTTCGGTTTGGAACTCCAGGCGGAAGGCGAGAATCAACGTCAACAATCAGTATTGCCGCACGACGTTCACCGTTCTCAGTATGCTACTACCCGTGATTCTATCGCACAATTTCGCGCAAATCTTGCTCTCTGCTTCGAGAACTGCGGTCACGGAAGACTGTCTCCGAATAAGCTTGGGGAGGAACGGATGAAGGGCAGCCGCGAGTATTTGCGCGCTCCTTATCGGCGAGAAAAACCCCATAGTTGTCGATGTCCTTCGTCGGTCGAACACGGATTATCCACGCCTAGCTCCAGACGATGCCCGACTAAAAGTGTGGCTGAAGTTCGAACTTAGTCCAACTCGAGGCTGACTTCGCCTACCCTGTCCGATCACAGTTTCTTGTGAAAGAGAGAGGATAACCTCGCATTCAACTCTGAGACAACTCGACCGCGCACATAGTAGGGTTTCTTGTTCCACACAGAGGAACATATGGCTGCGAGAACATGAAACCGTCACGGTAATAGGGTTCTGTATTAATCTTGCGCACGGAAAGAAACGCAATCGGTTCCCTTCCGGGAAGGATGGATGAACTTCTTCAGGTAACAAGGTAGGGTCGTTCAATCTGCGGATAACGGCGCCTCGATTCCGAAGCTCGAACCGGGACGAGTGAAATCTCGAGGCCTCAAGACTCGGGTAAATCTTTCTCCCAATTTAAAGAATGACGGCAGACCTAGAAATCAAACCTAGCGATGCATTGTCCGGCCAGGAGAAAGCACATTCGTTCAACACCCTACTTGCGATCAATTGCAGCATCAGCGATGGATACGAAGAGAGCAAACCTGGGCATCTCCTACGATAATTTTCTCATTTCCGCCTAGAGGGGCGGCTGAGGTGCGCGAGATGGAAGTGACAGCAGTCAAGAGAGGGTCCGGGAGAGGTAAATTTCGAGATAGTAAAGTTAGGGCCTTCAGTAGCGCCTTCACATCCTGAACCTGTTTGTCGGAGAAAACATTCTGCTTCTCCGTATCTGTATCGGTCACAGGCACCTCTTTCGACTTCCCATGGTCATCACAAACCCTGCCCGTGGCCTCTCCACCCTTCTTCTGTACACCCTTCACCGCCACTGAGCTCTGTAACAAAACTTCGGCAGGTGCCATGTCCTTAAGCCCATTCTTCAACAATCCATGTCCTGAATTGCACCCCTCACTCACGCCACTCGCCCAGACGGCCTCCTTGCGCTGCTGCTGATTCTCTAATTCCCCCTCCGCCATCACATATCCTCGGCGTCGATTGCAACCATCATTTCGTTCCGTCGACCTGCAATCGTTCCAATTCTCAGCGACTATGCCTACCCTCGCCAATCTTTTCTCGCGCCGCGAGCGGGCCGCAAACAGTCACAACTTCGATACCGATACTTCTTCGCGGACAAACCTCTCCCTCGCGCACTTCGAGCCGACGAAAACCTCAATTGACATCCACGAGCCCTTGTCCCTACAAATCTGCGACTAAGCGAAGGCCGGCACCGCGCCGCGAGGCGAAAATCGACCGCGACGAGCGTCGTCTTCTTGCCACCGCTGGCTCGAGCGCTGGAGTCTGCGGTCTCGCTACGCTACGACAATCTCGAGCGCCCGGTGAGTCGGGAGCTCGCCGCATTCGAGCGCCGGGCGCAGGCACGGTCGCGAGCTGGGACTCCAACAAATTCAAACATTTGAATTGCTGCCAGATCGGTGCCTGCATCCCTCGTGCTTAGTTGTCGTGCCAGAGCCCATTTATAAAAGTTCGTATCCTTCTGATCTCACAGTGATCTCAGGATTCCCTCGCCCCCACCCGCAGCCCTTCCAGACGCAGCCAAACTATTCACTCGCTCTGCCTCCCTCCCTCTCTCCCGCCCGCCGATCAATTTTACGCTAGATTACCTCCTCCACGGCGCAACGTCTCCGCAGGCTATCTATCTATTAGCTGCTCTTCCCGCAGAGGAGGCAGCAGCAGCTTCTGCTTCCATAGTCTCTCTCAACCAGCACCTTCTTTTCTTCCCTTCCCGTCTCCTGTTTGTCCGTCTCTTTGCCGCAAACGCTCTCTCCGCTGCTCTTCTCGCTTCTGCCAGACAGAGCCCAGGGGCGGGCCAAAACAGCGCGCAAACACAATCACGCGATCAATCAAATTGCATCCCTCGCCTCCATGACCCTCCCTCCGACCGACCGCCGACCGACCCAACCCCCTCCCCCCCCTCCCCCTGCCAACAAATCCAAATTCCCTCTGCTTTCCACTGCAGACGGACAAAATCTGCGCCCTCCCCTTTCTTTCTTCCTCCTCCTCCTCCTCCTCCCCTTCGCTCTCCGCCTTCGCCTTCTTCCGCTCCTCCCCTTCCCTCCCCACGACGCTGGTCTTCTTTGCGTGAACCCTAGGTACTGGCAGTAACCCCGCTCGGACTCCCGGGGCCGACGACCGCCGCCGATCCGGCCAATCCACGGCTCGCGGCTGCTCTCCGGCTACTCCCTCCGGACAACGGCCATACCAACCACGACCTCCTGCTCGGGTTAGCGCCCCGTTTCCTCCCCTCGCTCCGCTGCTCTATCGAGCGCTTCGGCTCGGTAGAAGAACATTCTCAATTTGAATCCATTTGCCTGTGATGATGATTCTCGACCTGTTCTTGATTTTCCATAACGTATCTTTGTTTTACTCTATTTAGAGGTCACGTGACTGATTCTATCATAAGATGGGTTCGATCGTCCGCCGCGTTTGTTATCTGTGTTCGTGCATGGACTGTGCCGGAAAATTACGAGTCGGGGACGGCACCAGAGATTTAGGTGGACGCGATCAGCATTGATCGCACGTCCTCTGACTTCATCTGCGTTTCATGATTTTTTGGTCCATTCTTCGTCGTTGGTGGGGACGAATTCTTCCTTGTACCTCTTAGTAACTGTAATTCAGGTGAATTACGTGTAAGGTTTCGGAACTGATGGCGAGAGTGACAGCTCTCATGGTGCTGGGTTTTGTAGTGTGAGCACCCACGCTTACTTTGCTTCGTACGAACGGGTCACGTCTTTGAGTTGACAATGGGCAATTAGCCAATCCGTTTCTGCTCTCTATCCACCTCTGCATCCCAGAGACACGATCACGGTCTGTCCTGTGCGCTATTTGGCGCCCTTGATCTTCTGGTGGGCACAGTTGCTCTTCCATATTCTCCTCGGAAGGCGCTTGTCAGCAACTCAGGTGATACTTCTGCGGTTCTCCCAGGAATGATACATAACGTTGAATGCCTGAAGTCGATACTTGGTTAGTAGAAGTTTTCTAGGCCCTCCGCAAAGTCTCGAGAAGTAGCTGATCCTGGTCTCCTTAGTCCAACCTCGTAAAATAGATCGTTCACACTCGGTCCACTTATCACCCTTGCGAGTCATCGATCCACTGGGTTGTAGATTAGACTGATGACCCTGTGCCCTCTTAATACAAGGCAAGCATAGGGCTTGATGATTTAGATTGATAACTCGACTCTTTTTTACCACTTTGACCATAATCTTGTCTTCAGTCCAGATCGATCCAAGAGCTAATGTATTTATATGAATCGTCATGGAGTAATGAATTCCCCACTGCTGCACTTGAACCAAGTTGGCGGCAGCAGAGGCAGATATGAGCGTGTTCAGTTTGAGAGCTTGCAGACGACATCAGCCCAAACGACGGTCCACAAACCAGGATGAGTGAAATCTGAGTCACTCTGTACCTTGAAGTAGACACGGAACCTTTCTGGCATGACTTTTTGTGTGACTTTGGCACCAAATTCGACTGGGACATTATCTTTGAACACTTACCAGCATTCACATCTTCGGCTCTTGGATAGAGAATATAAAGCAACGGCAACACCCTCAACAGCAACAGCTTCCTCAGACTAGGTCTACACGTGGCTTTTACACATAGTGTACATAAAAATTTACATCATGTGGACTGATTGGGCCCATCAATCCACACGAATATCCCTGAGAGTTGCTAGAAAGGAGCCCATTGCTGCACAGATTCGCTTCACCCTGTGAAAGCCAGGCTCCACACCAACTATGGCACCTTCCAATGCTGCGCTATTGAGCTTGTGAGAAAGACTCCGAGGGCACATTACCATGTCAACTTTGGCGGGCATTGCTCCGAAAGGGTATCCATCTCTTCACAACCGAAAGTACATGTAGAACCACGATCAGTGTTGACAACAAATGTAGGCTACGAAACTCATGCGACATGATTGAATACTGAATACACTAGGACGTTGAAACTTAAATCCTCCATAAGTACTGCTATACGATACGAGGAAATGAAGTCGAGAAACATACACAAAGCTAAAGTATTCATATCTTACCGTTGTGCATAAGTCATGCCCAGAGTAAGAATGAAATTTACTGAAAGTAAGCAATCCATAAACTTTATCTCCAACTGCATTTGCTCATCTGCATAAACACAAGAATTAGCTTTGTTTCAGAACTGAACAATAACCCACAACAAGGAAGGTGAAACAGCAATTTTCTTGATGGTATAGACCTAATTGTAGCAGGTACACTCGTTTCTGACAGAACAACCTTCCTAGGCACGAGGTAAATGACCACGACTACAGTCAAATGGAACGGACGAACATTATCACCCCAGAGAATAGTATTTTTAGTACGGTGGAGTAGGCGGCGGATTCGAGACAAGGGCCAGTCTTGTTGTCGCAATGGGACAAGACGCAAAGGTAGCAACAGGAACTAATCACATTTCTAGCAACTGGGGCAAAATGTGTAAGAACTCCATAATAAATAACGATTCGCTAGTAGTTGGTCAATTTTCTGAAATACATAAGTAGCACTGACTTGATAAATCCAACTGAGCGTACCATCATTCAGAAGGAAGCGTGGAACAACAAGAACTCCACGAGCAAAGGCCTTGGTCACCTTTTGGCACTCCCCGATCTCTTCCATCAGTACTAAAAGATTGCTGACCAGAAACCTAGTAGCCTACAGACCATCACAGAAACAAATGAGTTGAAAAGAAACCATCGGCGTTTCGGCAAAGTGGCATATATTGGTATAAGAGATTACTCTTGTGAGATGGTGATGTACATGTAGCGCAGAAAGCCAGCCTATTCATGAACAAACAATAAGTTTTGCTTTCAACATAGATTCCAAATCATCCAAATCCACATGTTCAGTTCAGACATGAAGCCATCGGAAAGTCCAAATTATATTTTATGGCAAGTTTTATCGGAAGTCAAAGTTTGACAAATTATATAGACCAAGATGATATTAAGCACACTACATGCTACACACACTACCAACTACTTCCAGAAACAGAAGCACTGATGAAGGATTTGACAACTTCACCCACCTGAATGTAAGAGCGCAAGCTTTGGGACTTTCTGACATCCGGTCTGTCAGTGAACGTTTGCTTGAACATTTCGACGGCATTTATCCTCGAGAAAATCTTATCACATGCAACGTATAGCACACAAAGTCACTTAATGCATTCAATATTATAATTCTCTTGAGGGCCACTGACAACAGCAATATATCCTTGTAACGTACCAGCTCAACACCCGCAAAATCCACATCCCAAGTGCTTTCGATGACATGTGACGTGCCAGCGGTTTTCGCTACAACCAGTCTGCAAGAAAACGAGGAGGAAATTGAATAACTCGAGGCGGCAACTGTATCAACCAGAAGCAAAACGATGACGGATGAGAGTACTATGCTCTGTATAACGCATGAAACGAACAGAACATGTAAACCTTCAAGAGCATTACAGTGTGATAAAAATAGGCTCAAACGAGGTGTCAGGGATCATAGCAAATTTGGAAACAATAGTTTTTCTGGCAATTCTATCACATAAATGTTGATAAAAAGATTTCATCAGGTATTTAGCAGTTGACCTTCTTTTCACAAGTCCGACCGTGTCCAAAAGGTATTTACGTGTGTAGCTGAGTTCCACAATATCCTGGCCAACAACCGCGACTTGCCATCCACCCTGCAATATCAACCAAAGAGATGATGAAACCACTACCACGTTCTGAAAGATTATGATGCATAAATGAGGCAGAAGTCAAATTATATCTGCCTCATTGAATATTTTGAATGAGGGAATTCTCATGCAAAAGAATCAAGCCATCACACGAGTTCGGCTTCTTTAGAAAATGATACCCACTTGCGACCACTTCAGTACACTCGATCGCAGTTATATCTACAGCAAAATATCTGTCATCGCAACCATCTCCTGAACCTATCAGCAACCATCTTAACCTCTTCACCCAGATCTTTATCTTTACTGTGCTTTTCCTAGAACTTCCTTACTGTCCTAATTATCTTACCAAAACCAAGAGCAGAACCAAACAATGTGCGGCATCTCAAACATCTCAACGGGTACTCACTCCAACCTTCCGACCATCGATAAACCCAATCTACAAGGACTGTCAACGTTTACCAGCCATACCTACGGTTATTTCCTCCCTGTAAAAGTCTGAGATCGGCGACATTCTGAATATATAAGCACATTTTTTTCGTCGTTCTCACCTGTAAGGCCTTCAAGAGCGACACTTTGTTCGACATCTCTTTCACGTAGAGCTCTGGCCTCGCAGCAATTTGTAAACCTGCAGCGGGGCTGTGCCCCATGCGCACATGTTCGGCTAGTTTGGTTTGTAAATCGTGTAGACGACATTGTGAAAATGCCAGACGTTCCTTGGACGTTCTCAAAGCTTCCTCAGTTACCTGCAATGCCAAGTAAACTTCTCAACATCCCCTAGGTTTCAACGCAGTGTGGGCTTGTGGGTCGAAGATTACTGGTGACCCCTACGAGAACTGCTGATTCTACTTAATTACTGGAGCAAAATCAAGAAAAGAAAACGTACATGGTGTGGATATTTAATACCACGGCGCCTACTACAATTTGATATCTCTACATCTCGCAGAAGAAAACAATCGATTGCCCAAACCACCAGGAATCAGCGCAAGACGCAGACACTAAGGGGAACGCAAGCTAAATTTTACAGTACCAGTGGATAAATTGTTGTGAGCCTGTAGAAAACGATAAAACCACAAGCGGAAAGCACGAGGGGTAAAACCTAGGCTTCCAGATTGGCATCATGGGTCGACTATGGAGTGGTCTGCGCACTGCTAATAGATCACTTTCCCTAATTACACTTCTTGCACGGTTCCGACATGGATGTGCTTCCTTACGTTCAATGATTCCAAGGAATACGACTTACAGACTGTGTGTCCGTAAATCGTACTCAATACAATCGCGCTCTGCCCATTCAAGGACAACACAACAAAAGCCAAAGCGAGTGAAGGTACGGTCTTCCAAAGAATTACAGAGTGTGGACCAGAGAGCAACCCCTCCGAGACTGTAACCCCAAAAGTCTCAACGCCACAACAACTTCGTTGAGATAGTGCTTCCACAACAGTGTCCGTCACTGGCTTGCGACCACAATCTCCGCGCAGCATGGCGTTGCAAGACCATAAAATGCTTAGGAAGGAGGAATAGTTTAAAGCAATTGACTGGCTTACTTAGACAAACTCTACTGCGAACGGTCGAGATCCATGCAGTTGTTGTATGCCAGACATTTAATCTATCCAAGAAGCAATGCAGTGCAGCTGCTACCGAGAATGAAAAGGTAATCACCTTTGTTCTATTCAGCAATTTCTCGAGTTTGGTCTTTGCGGACGAATTTACATCCACCAACTGCTCCTTCTGCAGATCAACAAGAAGTAGACGCTGTGAGCTCAAACGGAAATCCCGGTCCTTCTGTGATCTTCAACAACTAACTTTAATAAGTCAGAGGGACTAGCTGCCTTGACCATGCGTAAGGAGTATCGCACCAGGTACTTTATTTTATCCAGAGCACACTTATTTCGAGCCTTCTCCTCGACTGCTTTGGGTGCTGTCTTGTCAGAAGGATATTCCTCCACTTCGAATTCGTTGGTCGGGATTCGAGCTTGCAAGTGTAAGATCTGCTGATAATTCTCCTCTAAGAAGCTATTGCCGTTACGTAACTCTTCTACATGCAGCTGCAAAACACTAGCAATGATTAATTAGGTAATGAATTTGCTGCGCAACCCAGGCCCAATTTCGAGGGCAGTCTCGGTACATTAAATCCACGGCATTTCCAGCACATCTGACTAACTTGGAAAGCGCCTTTCCCATTCTGACTTTCAGCTTTAAATCTAAGGCTCGTACTGATAGACTAATCTGAAAGGATGAGACTTGTTAGTACCTGGAGTTCACTCTTCGATTGTAGGAGCTTAACATTCCAGTCCTTCTCCAATCCGAGCCGGAAATTCAGCCAATGCCTCTTTTCGACCAATCTATGTCATTGAGCACAAGCATTTTCGTCAATTAACACAATTTGTGATTGACAGGAGTAAGTGCAGTTTTGAATACGTTTGTTTCGCACCTGCACTTGGTTTGAAGTCGATGTATGCGCCCCTTGATTTGCTGCTTCTCTCCAGGCCCTACTTTCTACGAATAAAATATGCACACAAGCTTCAGAATCTTCCTCCGGTAAATCCTTGAACCCAATGATCAGTCTCTATAGCCAATGTTGACGCACAATACCAAGGCTGTAATTGTTCAGCAACTTAAACCTACGTGCTTACTTCTGTTTAAGTAAAAAGAGTAGAGATGAAAGATGGTAGAACTCACTTGGAAGCGCGAGAATAGAGATGGATTTGAAGCTGTAAGTTCATCTTCGAGTCTTGCTTCTTTTGTCCTTATTTTCTCAAGATCATCTTGCACCAGACTGCAAGCTTCCATCATGTGCCCGATCTGAGAAAAGTGACCACCCCGTCCATGAATGCCTTGTTATTTCCAATATGAACGTTCAGTACAACTCTAATGTCCAGCTAGTGCAGCACTAATGTTCAGAGACTAAGGAGCACATACCCGTGGTTGGACTAAGAAAAAGTGTTTCAACGCAGCATCAATTGTATTCACTTGGTATGCTTGTATCGAAAACTTGTCTTTTGAAGCACATCCCGAGCTTTCACGTTTTGCGCAAAAGTTCACCTGTCAACCAGAAGTGTGACTAGCTTATGAAACCGGTTGATCGAGAGGTGCATCAATAAGAGGAAAAAGAGCTCAAATACGTAAGCGGTTCATTTACAGTAGACAACGTATCAATCGGTCACGATCTAGATTCTATCATCTTTGAACAGACCTGTTTTCACGTCAGAACCTCCTTTCATTCAACAAAATTTTTAATTTTAAGACAAAAAGTTAAAGATTGCCAACCTACCTCGGTGAGTTTGAAAAAGTCGTCCACGGATATAGTATCGCCATCCTTGCCATGCTGACAATCTGACTGATCAGCCAGAGAACAAGCTTGCTCAGCCCCTTTGTATCTGATAGTAGGTGTACAGTCAGAGGATTGATTTCCTGCTGAGAGTTGTAATTTTTTTGCTGAATGCAACTGCAATGTCAATCTCTCTTGCAATTTTCTCAATGAATGTTGCTGAACCTCTGTGGTTTGACATGTAAACGTGAACGTTTTGTCCACTGTCCCTACTGATGCAAGGCGGGCACTACTTTGCAGCACAGAGTTTATCAGCTCCTTTGCATCATAAGTCCTGGGCGAAGGACTAGGAGTATAATTTTGGTAATTCGGAACTTTCGCTTCACTATGGCTCTGTTTTACAGGCGAAAGATACAAGGCCGGAGCCAGGATTTGTTGGGGTTCACCAAAGCGGCTAATGCTTCCGATTCTTTTGGACGATAGTTCCACGGTAGAGTTAAGTTTAGGCAAATCCTCGACCATCGACATGTTGTCTTCAGAACCATCAGTAGAAGTCCTGTTCTCAACGTCCATTGAGAACTTCGCGCGTTTCACAGGGCCGAAGTGAGGGACTGTATCTGCTGCTTCTGGCACAATGTCTGTGGTTTGTTCAGACCGGTCAGAGTTTCTGTCTCGAGGGCGTTCTGACACTTCAAGGATCTGCGCAATGCCGGAAGGCACGGGAGGACGTGTGGAATCAACAATAACCATCTGTTCATCACAATCAGCCAGAGTCGTATTCTCGGATTGATGTGAAAGCTCCGCAAGTCGAACAGTGCTTGACAGCAACATGGGGTCTGTGGTGTCTCCAACAATATCCATGCTCTCTCCAGAATCACCGGTTGGAGTCAGGTTTTGAAGGTTTATATGCATTTCTCCACCTTTGCCTAAAACTTGTGCAGACGAAGCTTCAATGTTCACCACCTGGACACCTCGTGAGGCTTGTAAAGAAGCAACTTCCCTTGAATACAGGGTAGGCTCACCACAGTCGTCAACGATTTCCATCCCTGAATCCGAGCATGGCGTAACACAAATATTGCCACCCCCTTCTGCATGCCCTAACTCTGAGGAACGTAAGGAGGAGGGAAGAGGCGCAACCCAACTGCTCCTCCTACTCTTGTTCCATGCGGGTGCTCTATCAGGTGAAACCGAATCCGCTGCAAGGAGATCGCTACACCTTGGAACTTGAGCAGTGATGCTTCCACTGAAATCCCCGTCAGAAGAAGACGGGACGTTTCTGACTTCATGAAGCAAGGAAGGAAACACCATGTTAGATGGTGCTTCTTTTTGCCCTTCAATGTGAGTGTAATCCTCCTCCTCTCTGATGATATCAGCAAGACGGGGTATGCCCAAAGTTATGCTCCGATCGTGATCCAACTCATCCCTGGACATTTCAGAAACTCTTTCTCTCATGCAAGTAGGCCTGTTCAAACTGTTATCCATGAGAAATACTTCCTCTCCTTGAATTTTTCTCCTACCAAACCCTGGAACAACTTGATTTTCCCTGGTTGCTGAGTTGCAGTGATTTGAGGTTACCGTTGGTCTAGAGCATACTATCTCCGTATCCATCTTCATGTCCGTGACCATATCTTCGTCTTCTTCCTCCTGAACAAGATCCTGAAGACTAGGTATATCCAGTGTTATACTCCGCTCCAATTCCAATGCGGGGCGCTTGCACTCTACATGCGGCAAAGATGTTGATGTTGGTGAGATACTCATATCCATAGTCACAGTAGCCTCTTCCCTCTGACATGTTGCCGACAATCCACGATTTACTCTTTCTAGGCCTTCAGAGAGATCTGCAGCAAAGAGACGGTCATTTTGGCCTCTAAAATCAGTGGTGTTTGTGACTGTGGCATCTGTAGTATTTGCAGGTGTCGTTGCTGTAGAAGCATCATCTCCTCTCGTCAATAAGCTTTTCGCAGTCTCTTCGGTGAAAGCGAGAATTTTCTTCTCACGTGATGTGGGATCTGTGTTCTCTTTTCCGTGCTCCTCAGAACCTGTTGCGATGAGACCTCTCTCTTCATTTCCTGGCACAAGGAGAGTTTCCTCATGAGATAAGATGGCAAATTGGAGGTTCTGTGCATTCCCGTTGTGTTGAGATGGTTCCTGATTGTCTGTTGTGGTGCTGTTTTTGCTTTGATCCGACCTTCTGGCGGAACCTCGGTGGCCTCCGGGTTCCAGTACGTAGGTACCTGAGACACTTCCATCCATGGTCAAGGTAGCTTCAATCTCCCTGTTTGGGCCTCGTGGACCGCGATCATCTTTCTCATACTCAACAGAGACTGCTGGATTAAGAAAAATGTTTTCTGTCTCTTCATGACGACTGGCCGTTTCGGTAGGTATAACTCTGCCACTTCCAGCAGGAATTACCGGGGCGATCAGGTTTCCACTTCCACCCTCCTCAATAATTGCCGCGAGGGTAACACTTTCTTTCTGAAACTCCGCGTAGGTTTCTTTGGTGACATTGCTTTCTGTCCCCCCTGTTCCAGAAGCAGTCGTAAGGACAACAATCTCCTTGTCTACCCTGGAATCCTTGTCTACTCTAACTTGGGTGTCTTTAGTGGTGGGCAAGGTCTTCCGTGACTTCGGCAGATTCAAATCAGAAAGTGGAGCACCTACTGGAGAGCGCTCTCCGTTATCTTCTGACAAGTAAGCCTTCATAATCTCAATAACTTCGTCCTGCTTGCTAACGTCAGTTCCAAGAAAAGAACTATGTTTGCGAGAAACTTGCATCGTAATACTCATGTCAGTACTTCCATCGACATGCCCTGAATGCAGATTTCCAAGCTTTTGTCGTATAATTGGTTGTATCATGGTAAAGCTCATACTCGTGTCATTCTCTCCAGAGCCAGGGCCTGGACTCTCCCCACGTGTTTTTCTGCCATAACTCCTCTTCGTCGATGGAGCTGGTTCGAATAACTTGTCCTGGTCCCCATCGGCCTGCGACTTCAAGGCTTGTAACTGCGACAGCTTAAATGTGAACGTCGTACTGTCCAACGTGACATCCTCATCGAAAACATTATTTTTCTGCTGCAACGCACAATTTTGAATGTCGACGAAATCGCAGATCTCACCATCGTCACTGCGACAGAGGCGTTTGGAGGTTTACCCAGACATCCTCGCTAAATGGAATTGAACACAGCGAATTTGAGATCAAGTACAAGTGTCCTAGCTGGATATTGAACTTTACATGAGTTAACTCACGATACAATGAAGAATTGAAAAGGAGTCAGCGACATCGGAAGTTTAGTTTAGTTTTCAATTACAATCTTCGGAGGCGGAAATTCCCATTCAAACAAAACTTCATGATCAAAGAATTCGAAGTGATGAGATGGTTGACTACCGTGACAAAGACGATGTATTTTTCGCTGGATGCCAGCTAGGAGGTCTCGAGGCAGGACTTCCGGTCGTTTGCTCCAGATTGCTCAGAGGTTTAGTACTTCGTCGGCCCTTACAGTCTTCAACTTCATTCAAAAGAACCGGTCTCCGATTCTCCTTATCGTCACCGCCCGCAGCTGGCATCTTCGAAGCAAGCCTGGGAGACCTCCTCTTCGGAACGTGCTGCGGAGCCGAACCCTGAGCATCCTGAGCGTCATGTGAAGGTGAAACATACTCATCATCTCGGGTGAAAATGTGATATGCCGGCGCCTCGGCGAAGCTCACCCGCCGACCGAGAGATCTTCGCTTCCGCCTTCTCTTCACGACACTTCCATCCTCGTCAATTCCAAACACGGTGGTGGTTTCGTCGTAACTCTTCTGCTCAAACGGAGGTGTCTCCATGTTCACGAATCCTTCCCGTCCACGGTCACAAACATGACTGGCAGTCTTTGCTGAAACTGAAGAGAAGATTGACAACTCGCAGGCGTCAATGTCAATCCTGCCGTGGGGTCAAAAATCTTGTATATGCGATTTGACATCTCATTCTCAATTCTGCCGAACGCGAGCAAGCGTCAGGTGCTTCTCGTGAGCCTTCAACGAAAGATCGACGCCCACGACCAGCAAGAGGCCGAACTGATCGCCTTTCTCGTACTGCTTCGAATTCAAAAGCAGAAAGCGGGAAACTGCGCGACACCTCTGTACAACCCAGTCACGGCCCATTCACATGGTTGACGGAAACCTACTGCGCGGTTCATCCAGATCACGGTACGGTTCTCCGAGGAGTGGAGTAGACTACAGTCCACCAGATAAGTGGTTTCTCGATGGCATAACGTAGTCGGGACGCATGGAATCAGGTACGGCGTTGGAGGCCACAGACAACGCAATCAAGTCCAGATGCATCCACCCCCGACCCGAAAGAGGAACTCTTGTATGTCTCCAACTGCAATGTGTCCAGCGTCGCCTCTAGTACGATCTGCATGGGTTATAGTAGTGTTTACATGTAACTCTTGCGTACGGCTGGTATCGGGATGCAAAACAATATCATTCATCGGAATCGCTTTCCCATCAATTTTTGGAGAGTAAAGCTCTGATAGCTGAATAGTGCCTGACTTTACAATCATTACCATCTCTAACACTTAACGGACTGACAGTCTAAAATGTTTCATTCTCAATCTTAACCCCGCTAGCTCAGGTCAACTCCAGTCTAAGTAGTCTGTGTTTCCCTCCTGAAACACTCTCGCATAATTTTTGTACTTATCTTTCTATTAGATATGTTTACACCGATAGTTGGTGCAAGGTACATTTGTACTTTATTCTACTTCATGCAGGCCAATAAATTTTATCCAAACTGGGTGACAAGAACAAAAAGTAAATTATGTTATATACATTCACTGCAGAGATATCTCACAGAAAATGTTATCACAACATTCTAGAAAACACAGTAGCATAGCAGATATTAAAAGAAAATAGAAATGGAGTGTGCACTATATGGGTTGCTTTTATAACTTGTATGTTCATTGTATTGAGACTTTCTTTATTATAACATGTTCTTTCAAAAACACTATTTGCATCGATATGATGTTATGAAAAATACTATTGCCGTTGACCTTTTCCTATCAAACATCGATGAAATATGCTAATATTTGGTCTTGAATGGTTTTTTTTAATCAATGGAACAGACTTGAATAGGTGTTTTCAAGATTTTCAAATTTATTTTCCTACAATGTTAATTCCCTTTTGCATGGAAAATTATGTTAAGATTACATAAGATTTCAATTGTAATTTTTGATCCTCTATTATTTTAAGACTTATATTTTTTGACATTATGAAGTATATATGGTCATTAAAATCCATATGAAATATTTATATTAAAGCATACGGTGATTTTCGTTTTTTTGTGAACCACTTACACAATGAGAATGACGCATAAATGGCATTATTAGATTTATTAAACATGAGAATGTTTTTAACTTGGATAGGATTTATGTTTGAAACTAGTAAAACACAGATGTTTTAAGATTTAGAAATCTGTATGTAAATTTGAAATATATTTTGGGTTAAAAAACGATATATATTTTTATATTTCAAAATATAAGTGGAAGGTGTGAAGTTTGTTTTTATCATCACTACAATTATATATTTTGAGGTATCAACGTGCAAAAGATGCAAAAATCATGATTATATTGATGAGCATCAATGTCACATCATGCAAATTTTGAGTAATTTTTTTCAAACAAAGGTATTCAGTTCTAATTATTTTGAATAAATTTTTTTTATAACAGATATATCATGAAAACGTGGAAAAAAGATGTGGCTCGGAATCATATCCTGAGTTTTACCGGCCGAGTGTGAATATATTTGATGGATCCATAAGCTGAGGCTACAGACTAATTTTTACATTGCATAAACAAAATGACTATTTGGTTAAGGCATTTCATTTTTTCTCTGACATGAATTTAGTACTTGTACTGAATGCATATCAGAAATCGGCTGACATGAATTTGTGCATTCAGATTATTTTTGTAATCATTTGTTCACATTAGAATGATAAGGTTGAACATATAAAGTAGCATACCGCTTTAGTACTCAACTTGAACATGGAAGGATTGTGTGTACTTAGTCGGTAGATGCACAATTCAAACAAATCATTTCCTAATCGATTGATGCTGCTATAATGTGAAAGAAACCTAACGGAAATGCCTCCATGAGTTCCAACGATAAGAGATCATAGCGAAGCTGAGCATGACAGATTCTTTGATAAAAGTGCTATAGCATATGTGATGACATTCTTGACTCTAATTTGGGTTTAGGAAACACCTTTGTATTTAAGAAGTTCAAGTCACATTATACTCGAGTTGATATGGAGAATCAATCGCTCTGCTCCAAAGTTTGAAAAGAGACTGAGGAAACATTTGATGATCTTAGAAAGTTTTTTGAATTCATAGTAATCTCGAAAACCAAACCCAACAATCTTTAAAAATTGCACCAAATGACAATCCATGACATAATGAACTATATAAATCTGAAACCTATTTTTAAAGGAGAAAAATGCATACTCTACCCGTATGCGTACTTAAACGAGTGTGTATGTAGGTGGGAGGCTACTATATGTATGCATCTTTACTTGACTTCTTCTTCGGTTTAGACAAAACCCTTTTAACAACGATATTATATCTATAGCGAAAATGGCCTCTTCAGAAGTTCAGAAAACACCTCCATGATCTTAAGTTTCAGAAGTTGAAGTTCTTTTAGAATTGAATATATATTTAATCTATAGGTCTATTCGGTTAGCATAATCCCTTCTAAAAACAAGATTTGAATTTTTTTTTTATCTCTTCATCCACAGAAGTTATTATTCGATTTTTTTATCTTCAGAAGTTAAAATATATTTTACAGTATACGCTTCTACTTGTGAATGTACAGTCCGTCAAGAAAAAGCCACAACATATGAATATAAGTTAATAGCAAAAAAGCAATGAAGTATGTCTACAAGAGTCACAACAAGCCAAAACTACATGGACCAAAGTAAATTATAAGATAATGAGGTGGTTCCTTTCATATTAAATCGCTTCGTCTATACAGATTGTTCTATCACTCGAATACTATATATATATGAAACTATATGAACATGCATGTATTCTTACAACTATTTTGAATCAAACTTCATTGCAATACTAACATGCTATTTTAGCAAAGTAAAATACAATGCGCAGGTACACATATGATAGGGCACATATATTTTGGACTCAAAATTGCAATATGTTGTGTTCTGAAGACATACAACATCAACAAAAAAAAAAGTTCCTTCTTGCAGTGCGTTGTACTTGGCCTGCTTCAACAACCCTTGTGGAAGATGTGCTGGTTCATGCATCATTGTAAGATTTCTCTAGAATTCACGCAAATCTATATCCTGAAAAATAAATCACAGTAGCGGGTAGCCAAACAATTGAGAAGAAAATACAACGTAGTTTGATATCAGCAGCACAATCTTAGCACAATCTGGAAGAGCACGTTGAGTTGACATGGAAGAATCTCATAATAACTTTCGAAACCTCTAGCGCTTCTGACTCGCGAAAAGGGAATATACATAGAACATGGTTTTATCGGTTTATGATATGGGCTTGACTTGAAAGTAAGCTATCATAGGGAGGCTGTGACAAGACAATGACGACGCCACTTTTCTTGCGAAATGTACCCTTTATCCTGAATATGACGGGACAATGACGACACCAGCTCTGCTCTCTCATGGGATATAATTTTATCATAACTTGTGTTCGGCTACACCGAGCAGTCGCTCGCGGATGGAGAGCATGCACCACCGATCGTCTTGATACTCGGGGGTGCACATAAAAGCCCTTCGTCCAAATTAAAAGTATAATCAAAACAGTTCTATCGAGTCTTCTTCATTGCCTCACTGACAATGTAGACTGACAATCCGTGTCCACATTCTTCAGAATCTCGTTACCCTCTCGCAGTCCTTAAGACCGTAATGGGAAGAGGATAACACATCTTAAAATGTCCTAATCCAGGACACAAAGTGCTCGGATGACACAGCATGTACCACGTGAACTCAGAGTCCGTGGTTGGCGTGGTCAAGCGAGGCAGAAAAAAGGTACACACGGCCGACTTCGTCTCTCAAGCTCCGGTCGGTCGCCGGTCGGAACCGATGGCGGCATCGGATTCAACTGGACACATCGGTGAGTCAGGAGCGAGGTACGCCGGGCGGTGCAGAGGGTGGAGATGACGCCTGAATATTGAAGTCGGGGAAGTAAATCGGAGCGTCCCGTCGATGGGATCCCACGATCCGGTCGACGGAAAGCTCCCGACGCGTAAGGCGAAGAGCGGAATGAGCAACCAAATTTGGTCGGTCCGTCGGATCGGATCTCTGTTGCACCTGAACTTCCCGAATTTGGGTCTAGTTACTAGACCCAAAGTCGGATATACTAGACTCTAGTATATCCGACTTGGGTAAGATACTTGGGGTAAGGTAGGAAAGTGCCGCGGAAGGAGCACCCACTGCGGATAAAGTAGTCGACCGAGTCGCTAATTTGAGCGCCCCATAAATGTTATTGGCAAATGTCCAAAGCTCCGTCCGCAAACGGTGCAGATCTATCTCCCGTCTGTCTGTCGCTTGCCGCTCCGTGATCTGCTCGATCCGATCCTCGGAGCGAAGAGTATTAGAACGAACGAGGCGAGTCCACATTCAGTCTCCAGTTCTGTCCTCACGGTTGCGCGGGTTTTAGATAGAGGCCTGGATTGAGAGAGAGAGAGAGAGGAGCTGAAATTGGCCGAGGAAGCTGAAGAGTGAGTGAGTGATTCGGAGTCATGGCGACCAGGAAGGCGTTGGGCTCGAGCGCAAGCTTGCTGGGGCGAATTGTGTCGAGGCAACGACAGGTTGCTGCTGCTGCTGCAGTGTCCAGCTCCAGCAGGCTCGTCGGTGGTGCTCGGAGTTTCGGAGCTGCTGCAGCGGAGAAGGAGCTCGAGAGTCCTGTGAAGGCTCCGGTCGAGGTCAAGCACACGAAGCTGCTGATCAATGGGGAATTTGTGGACTCTGTGTCCGGGAAGACCTTTGCCACTTACGATCCTCGGAGTGAGGAGCTGATCGCTCATGTGGCCGAGGGTGACGCCAAGGACATCGACCTCGCCGTGAAGGCTGCCCGGAAGGCTTTCGACGAAGGCCCATGGCCGAAGATGACGGCCTACGAGCGTGTCAAGATTCTGAACCGCTATGCCGATCTTCTGGAGAAGCACAACGATGAATTGGGTGCTCTCGATTCCATCGACAGCGGCAAGCCTTACGATCAAGCCCGGTATGCAGAAATGCCGCAGGTGGTGAGAAATTTCCGCTACTTCGCCGGCTGGGCCGATAAGATCCACGGGCACACCATTCCGTCTGACTCTGCCCACTTCGCCTACACCCTGCACGAGCCCGTCGGCGTGTGCGGGCAGATCATTCCGTGGAATTTCCCGCTGGTCATGTACGCCTGGAAGGTCGCTCCCGCCTTAGCTTGTGGAAACACAATTGTGCTCAAGACTGCCGAGCAGACTCCCCTCTCGGCCCTTCTGGCGGGAGCGCTGGCTCTCGAGGCTGGCATCCCGCCGGGCGTGCTGAACATTGTGTCCGGATATGGAGAGACAGCGGGAGCGGCGCTCTCGAGCCACATGGACGTGGATAAGGTGGCCTTCACCGGATCCACGGAGGTCGGGAAGAAAATCATGGTCGCTGCCGCGCAGAGCAATTTGAAGAAGGTGACGCTGGAGCTTGGAGGCAAGTCGCCCTTCATCATCTGCGACGGGGCCGATGTGGATCAGGCCGTGGAGCTGTCGCACTTCGCGCTCTTCTTCAACCAGGGCCAGTGCTGCTGCGCCGGGTCGAGGACCTTCGTGCACGAGAACGTGTACGACGAGTATTTGGAGAAGGCCAAGGAACGGGCTTTGAAGAGAATCGTCGGAGATCCTTTTCGCAGCGGAGTGGAGCAGGGCCCTCAAGTCGACAAGGAGCAGTTCAACAAAGTTCTCAGCTACATCGAGAGCGGCAAGGAGCAGGGTGCCCGATTGATCACCGGGGGCACGAGGCTCGGCAGCAAGGGCTTCTACATCAAGCCCACCGTCTTCGCCGATGTCCAGGACCATCACACCATCTTCAACGAGGAGATTTTCGGCCCCGTCCAGGCCGTGACCAAGTTCTCCAGCACCCAGGAGGTCATCAAGAGGGCCAACAGGACCGAGTACGGATTGGCTGCAGGAATTTTCTCCAAGAATATCGACGAAATTAACACTCTCTCCCGCGGGCTCAGAGCCGGAACGGTCTGGGTGAACACGTACGACATTTTCGATGCTAGCATTCCCTTCGGAGGGTACAAGCAGAGTGGCATCGGAAGAGAGAAGGGCATCTACGCGCTGGAGAATTACACTCAAGTGAAGGCTGTGGTGATGCCCTTGCACAACCCTGCTTGGTTGTGAGGGGACAAAAATCTCTCTCTCTCTTTCTCTCTCTCGATCGCAGCAGCAGCAGCAATCGGCAATCGTTCTCACTCGAATCGATGCGTTCAATAATCTGTGCAAACTTACGAGGTGTTTTTTCCCTGCCTGCAAGGGATGTGTGAATATGGCAGCCTGACATCGTGGGAGAGTTCAGAGAGGGCAGGCAGGTATGTCTAGGTTGATTGGGCAGTATAGACGGGCTCTTGAGCACTACGCCTTATTCAGTGGAGCGAAATTTGGACGAGCAGCTTTCTTATCTTGATGATTCAGTTGATCCAAAAAGGAAATCATCACATGTTCATATAATGACGGAAAAACCCCCCTTTAGGATATTAGGAAAGTAGAAAATTGGCCTGCGGGAGCCGATTGTGAAATTGGTTTTGAAATGAAGTCGTTAGTTCTCGGCTGTGACCTTGGATTAAGGTTGTTAAATCCACATCTCCATAGTGTCTCCTGTGTGCTTTGCCTGTGTGATGTTTGCTACAACGGTTTTCAAAAGCACATTTCGATTCAGTCACGTAAGTCATAAGTTATTCATGGATTCCATTGCTCCTGAGTGGCAATCACATCATTGTGTCTGATTTGTTCAGCTTGGCAGCCTTTTCTTAACTTCTCCGATGACTGTTGTAGTCGAAGAAATGTACAGGTCTGTTGCTATTGGTTGGTGTAAGTATTTAATCCCGGTCTACTTCTATTTTATATCTGGGGTATTCGAGAGGATGGATTCATTTGTCCGTCGGTGTGGGTCTGCAGGATTGCTGTCCGCAATATGGCGGAAGTTACCTACCGGTCGATATGTCTCATGATCGATGGTTCTCTCGAAAGGAAAGAGGAAGAGTTGAAGATAGAACAGAGGTGACAATGATATGAAAATGTATAGATTGGGTTCATTCCGTGATCTCGTCATGATGTCTGTCAGTGAATAAATATGTGATGTAGTGAACTGTTCCCGTGATTGCCAACGCTTTAAATAAATCTAAGTTTCTTCCTGTCGCTGCGGTCCGAATTGAGGTGGCCTGAATGTGATTGGGCACCGTACAGAAGTTCAAGATAGCGTTGGACTCGGTATGTTTATGTTGACGCCATATTCGCTCAAAGCCTTAATCCAGGCAGAGCGCATCGTGGTTTGGGAAGTCGTGTACCATAACTTCCAACTATGCGGGAGGAAGGTTTAACAGAAGCTCTTATAAACGAAGTCTACGTATTGACAATGCACTGCGTGGAACCTGATGCGACCATGTGCGGGTCCCTCGCAGTTCAGTTATGTATTTTAGTAGAGGGTGAGTAACCCTGAGGAGTACACCGAGTCACCAAGACCTTAGTACGTGGGTTTCCAAGCAGACGTGGACGACGCTATAATGTGAAACCCAACAGGAATGCTTTGCATAATCCGTTTACAAGTGCAAGGAATCATGAAGATCGACTTCCAGCTGATTCAGATATCTGTCAATGAATTAGTCTTCATTGATAATGTCTGTCAATGTCAACTAGTTTAGAGGTTCAAGCTCGGGATAGCAAGCTGCGAGTTACTGCAAGCTAGCTGTTCACAAAATAATGGTTTAGTATATAGTGTCTTCCGGTATGCTGAAATGAGTGCCATGCTCTTGCAGATTCTCGCAGCTTGCTATTCCCCAGCTGGAACCTCTGAACAGTCCGTCTTCCTCAACGATAGCGTGGGGAAATTTAATATCTTCCGTCGTACAGTCCACATGCCACAGCACGAAGACAGAGCAAATTGCGGTCAAATCATGGTTTAATCAAAGGGCAAAGAGCCCTGATTGTGGAGAGTAGATGGATCCTTCTCTGCCTTCTGCCTAGCCTTAGATACTACATATATGAAAATGCTACTCACGGACAGCTTTGCTAGATTCAGGAGCGAAGAATCTAACCAAGGGTGAAACTCGAGCCACGATTCTCCTACCATGGATGCAGAATGTGATCCTGACTAGGTTTACTTTTCGTCCTCGGACTCGAGTGTGTAGCTTCTGCCATGTGGGGTCATAAAAGTCTGTGCTCTGCCCGATGGAAAACTTTTCTAATTTCTTGCATAGAATTGATGGAGAGTTTCTCGCTGGCGTACAAGGCTGCTAGCCCCTCACAGCGTGACCCCACACAGCCCATAAAACTTTAAGTGCCTCCTGAAGCGATCAACGAGAACTTGAACACTCAGGGTCTTGGGCCTAAATGCTTTTTTCCTGACCATTGTCATCCGCACTGACCTTCGGATTGAAGTCTCAACGAAAATTTGTACATCGGCTTGCATGCGTTGAACATTTACAGAAATAGTTTTGGAGTTGATTTCCCACTATTGGTTATTTGGACTCTCCTTACGCTGAACATTTACGGTCCGGACTATGTGTTTCATTCGAAGTAGCAATAATATGATTGGGCGAAGTGTCCATCGTCCTTATTTACGTCTTACGACTGAAAGGTCTTGATTGGGAGCAAAGGGGCATCAAAAAGCTTGAATTGTACTTCTTCGTGGAGCGCATATTGTGAACGAAGTCTTCCAGATTCATGCCAAGTACGTCCAAGAGGAAGTTCGCTTCGTAGCACCACGTTCACTTTTGACGAGGACGTGAGTCATTAATCGATGGGGAGGATTTTTTCTGATAGCTTAATACTAAACTATTGTCTTGTTTTTGTCTTGTCTCGTAATAGTCTTTTATAACCGAAACCTTTGCTGTCAGGTGACAGAGTAGAATGCATGCGCACTGAAGGGCACAAGATTAGCGCTCGTGTTCATGTCCTTGAGTAGTGGCCAGGTCGTAACGACACATCCATTTTCTTCCATCCTTGAACTCGAGAACTTCCGCAGTCATGGCTTTGATTCTAGCTACCGCGGCGGAAATTTTGGGGGCTGAGTCGAACAGGTTATTATGGAACTCGTTGATCTATCGAAGTCCATGGAGAAACCAAAAATGAAGTATTGAACTACAATACAAAACCCTAACCATCAATAAGTCCAATCAGTTCGACACGGACTAGCTTTTCCGATTGTAGGTTTCTGGTAGAAATAATAACTGGCAGGCTTTAAAAAAACAGGCAAGTTTTCGGTGCATACTATAGGACCATATAAGTGACTCGCCATTAAAGTTGTGACAGAAACAGTAGTCTACTTCAATTCTACCTCGGGAGATCTTCTTTAAACTCATGACTTCTTTGACATTTTTGGTGGAATTTTGACAGTTCTTGTTACAATGTGGAATCATTTTCAACTGTCAGTACGACTGAGTTTGCGCATTTATATCTTGATAAAATATATGAGCTTGTTCAGATTCACAGTAAATTGGAAGGAGCGACCTGAACGTCCTTTGCTGGCTATTCGGGAAAAGTCTATCATCATTAGTACCTCGTTTCTCGTTTCCATCGATGCAATGCTATTTCTTCCTTCGCTACTCTGAGGGGCGTTATAAGTCTTCCCAATCTTATGTCTCAATGCACACTCAATACGCCCAACAGATCAAATTAACCATTACAGTCTGGTCTCCGTGTTATTGAATCTGGCATTTGGTCCGCAGTTTAACGTCTGCTCTGGAGTCTTCTGTAGAGGCTATGGTGAGCCATGATTCAGGTATCTAAAATCTAGGAGCTGAATCCAAGGCCTTGGAATTGCGGATCCATTCTGCACCGCGTGGAGTTGAATCTTACGATCATATGAGTGAACCTATAATGGTGTTGCGATAACTTCAACTCCTCTATGTGTCCGATGTTCCACTAGCATATATAAGCTTGGAAGCTTCCACACAGACTCTAAGGATAAGGACGATAACCTCAATAGAGTCTGCTTGTGTTGAATGTATTGGTGATCAATCCAGATCAATTTTTTTTGTGATTACACCTTTAAAGGTAGTTCAGGTACTGGAGAGGAATCGATGCCACCTAAAAGCTCTGGATTCCCCTTGAAAGTTAGCTTGCTATTTATGATTCTAGCACCTCGTTCGGTGGGCGATCTTCTTGATCAGCGTTCTTCGTTAAGATAAGAGGACTTGGCGGACATCCTGTCGCAAATTCTTAGGTTTCAACTTGGTTATCTCAATTTCAACTTGAAAGAATATCATAAAAGTAGCTGTCCAATGGCTACTAACAGGAAGCAGCTGTCTGATTCTTGCATGGATACGGAGATGGAGAGTAGGTGGCAGACACTACATCGATCAGCATTCACTTATATCACCTGGCTCCTGAGAATGTATGAAAGTCGTTCTATTTAATAGGAAGCCGAATCTCATCTCAATTCGATGAAACGAGTGGCGAGATATATGCACGTAAGTTTAACAAACATTGAAATGATGGGTTTGTGCATCTGCAAAATGATATCCAATCGAAGCGTGCATTATGCAGAAACTCCATCATTTCATGATTTGTTCAAGATATGTCCAGGAAATGACAGTCCCAAAGAATCAAGCAGTACTGTAAATCTTCATGATTTGTCAACACTCTTTGGATCTAATATTCGTAGCAACGACTGAGATTCTGGGGAGTTCGGAAATGAGCTGTCACACAGGAAGCATATTTTAATCTGATTTTATAACAATGATTTTAATCTGTTTTTTGGTTCCCTGTTATGTATATATACATTTATTTTGGTATAGTAAATCATGAGCTTGAGTATGTGTGGAATGTGGAGGTAGTGCAGGGCTAAGAGGGTGTGTGAGCACAGTGAGGGACAGAGGAGGCATCTGCTCATGAGCAGAAGAGGTCGAGCTCCCTCTGGATTCACAGATCTCACTGTCACGGCTAATCTTGGGCTCTCACCACGCTCTTAACATCTTCGAATTCTTGAGCTCTCTTACAGCGCTGACCGATCGATCGGGAGGAGCGAAGAGAAGATTGCAAAGCGTTGTCGAGCACCACCGAGGGCGCATCAGCTTTCCATACCTCCCCTCGCGTCACGTCGGCGCCATAGCCATGGATGAAACGGGAGGAATCCAGTTGCTTTTGGCGGCCGAGCAAGACGCCCAGCGCATCGTCGTCAGCGCCCGAGCAGGCAAGACTCAGCGATTGAGACAGGCCAAGGAAGAAGCCGAACGAGAGATCGCTGGATTTCGAGCCCAGAGGGAGGAAGAATTCAAGAAGAAGCAAGATGTGTCGACTGGCAGTGTGGACTCAAACGTGAAGCGACTGGAGGAGGAAACTGACGCGAAGATCCAGCAACTCACAAAGGAATCCTCTCAGAAATCGAACGAGGTGACATCATTTCTGTTGAAATACGTCACCACTGTCAAGGTTTGAGTTCACGGTTCTGACATCACGGTCTACAGATGCATAATTCAGCCTCTCGTCTCGTCGATGGGTACGACGTGTTCAGGGCTCGTCTGTTCCGCACGAGCAAGCATTTCCTGGGCAATATTCAGCGTATAGAGGCTTTATAACTGAAAAATGTGTAGCGTCGTAGATCATGAACTGGGCACCAGATGCCGTCTGGACTCTAGTTGCGATCAATGTAATATATTTTTTCCTTTTCAGTGCAGGTGAATAAAAATCTTGTACGAGTGTGTTTGACGTTCATGTCAGTGAGATCGCGTTCATTCGGATTTTGCTTTCTAGTCTTCCCTTGGGATCTTTCTCACATTTCTTGACAGCAAGTGTAATCTTTGCCTTTTCGATATTTGTGCACCTTTGCTTATCGAAGCAAAGGAGCAAAATTAGAAATGAATTAAGGAAGTTGAAGTACGGAATAGAAACCGGCAGATCTTCCGAAGCTCAAGGTCATGAGCGGAATTTCCAGCAAGATCTGTGCCCATTTGATCATCCATGCCCACTCAATGTCCTCCAGTAAATAGATCTTACATGATTTGGCTAGTACCGAGAGGAAACACGATAAAAAATGGAGAACAAGGAGGCAAAGTTTCGTAGAGATTCTTGGTGTGGTCAAAGTCTCAAAAAGCTCCTCGATGTTTCTTGTAGATAACTCTAAACCAAGGATTACACTGTTTTGCCGATACAAATTATTTTCCATGCTAGGTCACGTAATTTTTATTTCTTTTCAATATATAGTATATTAAGATAGTCTGCAGTAATTATTATACATAGAGCACTAATGTTTTGAATTTACAGTAAAACAATCATGTGAGAACTGTATAGATTAAATATCTGTAGGTTTTATATGTTGATGTAACTTGATACTTAGATATGTCAGACTTAATTTTAACATTCTGTATTGTACTATTTGGTGTGGCTCATAAGATACCTTTGGTTTTATTTAATTGCACTCTATGGTTTTTAGTCTAGTCCATTTTGCTGAAGTAATTGTATGGATTGAGCTCTTCGCTTTGTTGTAATTTGTTTACCAAGTTGATATGAAGTTTGAAAGCTGGATGTTAGAGATTCTATTCAAAATAAATAAAGAGAAGTCAAGTACACTACCTGGTATTTGGACCATCCATCCAAACCACTCCAAAACTAAGGTGAATACGATTTATGTTTTCATGAAATAAGAAAATACAAATATAAACATAGCATGATATCAGCCATAAAAAATTTGCAAATTTGTATATCATTTTTACCAATCGAAGAATTATAATAATAATTCTTAAAAAAATGTTTTGGAAATTCATAATCTTCAAATTCAATTACATGATTCAGACTACAGGTCAATTTTCAAATCATAAATGTAAATTTGATAATAAGAAATTTTTAGATACGTAAAATTTCAAAATTAAGTAAGAAATTATATTTCTATGCAATTTGTTAATAATTTCATAAAAGATTAAATAAATTAGTGATCTAAGAAAATATTGATGTTATTGTAACGGTAAAACCCGAGCAATTGACACGCTCAAACCAAGCCATTAACACGAGAGAAAGACATGTATAACGCGATTCACCCTCAAGGGCTATGTTCAGGGGGAAGAGCATTGTGAGATTATATTGAACGTTCCTGTCTGGTAATACTCAGATCCTGGCCATATATATCCAACACTGGTGACCAACCTAGGTATAAATAGCTAGAACTTGAGATTATTCTTTAACCAAAATAAACCTTAACAATCTTACCCTTAACTCGTGTTTAAAAAACAGTAAACTCTGTAACTATATTATTCTTCCGCGGGAAGTTCTAGACGGAAATCTAACACAAGGTCACTCTCTACACGCGAGTGAACTAGAAGTAAACCTTAAGCATAACATGATATAGTAATAACATAGAGAGTTAATTAAAAATTTGCTAGCATAGAATGAATAGAAATCTCATAATCTATATAATTACTCTGTGAGAAGTTCTAGAAAGGTACCTCATACAAGTTCACCCTTTAAATTAGAATTGACTAGAATTAAGCCGTAACAATCACAAAATAGAGTAATTATATAAAGATATAATTGAAGATTCCATGCTAGCAAACTTTACAAGTGATCCCCATGCACAATTTGCATAGTAGCACAGTGTCGCCGGAAACTCTTCAAAGTAATAACTTTGATCAACGTATCAGCTAGATTGAATTTACGTTCAATCTTGATTGAGTCAATCGAACATAGTTTATCATTAATTTTTACTAGCTCAATCACCATAGTTTATTGTTCATCTTGACTATGTATATCAAACAAAGTTTATAGTTAATTTTGACTAGTTTATAGTTCAATTATGTGCTTAGTAATTCCACTAATACATGTGTTTCTTATTGATCATTAATCACATAACGATCAAACTTCCACACGATCATATCCATGAATGAATAACTTACCTAGTCAGTACAGAGAGCATAGAACCTTCATTACCTCTCGCGAATGTCTGTAAGACCTCATCAAACTGGAGAGATCAACGACCTCTCTAGTTTGATGAGGCCTAACGTATAAGCATCGACCTCAAGTGGGAAGTATTACTAACCCCTCCCCAATCTCGCGTGGAGTGCGACAAATGTAGTAGATCGGAGTTCAATTTTTGAATCGAGCCAAATTTTTTTGAATAAGAGTGCGGTCGGGCGACGTGCAACTACTTCCACTCTTCCACTTCCCACGTCCGCGTGATCGGACCTAACGCACTTGCAATCAAAGTCAACAGCGTGAACGTGGTCGAACCAACCGCGGTTCATAGGGCAACTACGGTTGGCACAACAAACTATAGTAGGCGTGACAACTGTAGTCGGCAGGGCGAATTGTGCTAGGCGGTGCAACCACGGTCGATTGGACAAAGATGGTCTACATGTGGATGATGACAACTGCGACGGACGGTGAGTCGTAGGTGATGGTGATTGTAGACGACTCTAAATGCAGCTAATGAATGGTGTCGCGGAGGATTATAGTTGCTGGTGACAAAAAGTTTGGTGCAGAATGCAGTCACGGATGACAGCCAATTGCGGGCACAATCAGTCGCGGATGTCGGTGGAAGATAGTCACGGGTAATAGTCAATCGCGAGCGACGATGAGGAAAAGTCACGGGTAACAATCACTCATGTGTGAAGATGTTGGACATCCGCAAGCAATGGTTAGTCGCAAGTGCGGACGACACATGACGGACAGACTAGGTAAATCCGTCAATCAGTCAAGAAGATTATGTCTGAAAGATTCTAAACCTAATAGTAGAGTTACAGGCTATGAGATATAATAGCCTCTAAGATTTTTATTAGTGTTTATATTTCTTTCAATGAAATCTTGTTCATTGAAAAAAATTTAAGATAAGTTCGTAAGTGATAAAACTTAGTTATTAGTGGATAATTTTCACTTGTCAATACATGCAGTTAGAAACTCTTTATACTGACAAGGAAAAATTATCTACTCACAAATATGTTCGTGGGATAGTTTGATCATTATGTGATTAATGATCAAGAAGTAGCATCGGTACCGGTGGAGCCCTGAGCACGTTATTGAACTAGTCAATATTGACGGTAAACTTTGGTAATTGAGCTAGTCAAGATTGACGTTAAACTAAGTCTAGTTAATATGTCAACCAAAATTATAACTTTGAAGATTTTCAGACAACACTGTGCTACTATACAAGTTGTGCATGGGGAGCACGAGTGAAGTTTGCTAGTGTAGTATCTTTAGTTGTTTCTTGTATAATTACTTTATCCTTTGATAGCTAAGTTTAGTCCTAGTTAACTCTCGTTTAAAGAGTGGACTTGTATTAGATATCTTTCTAGAACTTCTCGCGTAATAATTATATATGTTACAAGATTTTTGCTCCCTTTACGCTAGTAGGTTTTTGATTACCTTTTTATGTTAATACTCTATTTTGTTATGGCTATGGCTTACTTCTAGTTTACTCTTGTGTAAAGAGGTACCTTATGTCAGGTTTCCGTCTAGAACTTCTTGAGGAGTAATAATATAGGTATAGAGGTTCTTGTTTACTTAACACGAGTTAACGGAGAGATTGTTGAGGTTAGCTTGTGTAAAGTAGCTACTTCAGGTTCTAGTTATTTATAGTTAGGTTGGATGCCAGTGTTGGGTATATTTAGCCAAGGTCTGTTTATTATCAAACAGAACGTTCAGTTGAATCTCACAATGCTCTTCCTTGTGGACGTAGCCCTTGAGGGTAAACCACATTATCTTTAATGTCTCGTGTCGATGGCATGACTTGAGTCTCGAGTTTTATTATTAGATTTTTTCTTTTGATTACATAAATATATATATATATTGAAGTATGCACATTTATTTTTAAAAATTATTTTATTAAAAATAATTATTATTTGAAAGTTTTTCAAATCTATTACTATTGAAAATATCATTTTCATTGAAGTGAAAAGATATCTTAAGAGCTTTTTGTATGTGTATAAAGTCAATGAAAGCATAATTAATCACCATTTTTATGATTTAAAAAAAAACCTTGTATCTATACTTGCGAAAAAAAATTCAAAATCTATTGAATTTAAAAAAAGTTAAAATAGAATCATAAATAAAATTTAAAGTTTTTAATTTTAATATTTACTATAATTTTAAATTATAATGATATCAATAATTTGAATAATGATTAATTATAAGCAGGATTTTTTTAATTTGTTTTATATATTTTCTTATGTATATAATTGATAGAAAATATGTGAGAAAGCTTAGTATATATACCTTTTTTCAATATAAAATTTCTTTTGATTAAAATGCTATTTTTTAACATAAAATTTTAAACTAGCGTAATATCATATACACAAAACTGATTTAAAAATTTTGCTAAAAGTCACTATTTTTGATTCCTTTGTATTATTTGCTCTTTGATAAATTTGAAGCAAATTAATTTTGACTTATTTAACTGCTTTTCATTACAAATTCTGTCTCACAAAGAGTACATAGTAGGTTATCATCCAATCATCTGAACTGCATAAAAAAACACAATTTTTGAATTTCATTCAAGAAAATATGTTAAGTTTAGAGAAAATTTTCAGAAAATTTTTACATTTTTGTTTTAAATTTTAATGTTCCAACTGACTGTACATCAGTTTAAAAGTTAACGCAAATATATAAAAATATGAAAAAATCCTTTTAAATAGAATTTAAAAAGAGATAAATTTATAAATAATATTAAAACTAACAAAGAAAATTCTAATATTTCAATATAATCTTGTATGTCAAATTTTATAACTGACTTGCAATGATTACCAACTTGAAAAACTGATATTTTTTTTTGGCTAAGACAAATTTTATTGCTCAAAAACCTCACAATGATCTTGAACTCACACAAAACATTCTACTAGATCTGATTCTTAAATTTTACTTTCAAAATTCAATAGTCAATTGCAATTTTACAATTTATTTTTACAGTTTTTTCATTTTTATTTTAGAAAATCTCAACTCCAGTTCCAAAAAAAGTAACCACCAGTATAAATTTAACAATAAATTAAATTTATTTAAGTTAACATAAATATTGTCTAGAAATTTCACAATGCTCTTGCACTCACTCAAAATGTTATAATTGATCAGATTTTAACTTTCAATTTTATTCACTCTTTTTGATAATTATTTTTCACCTTTCATCATTAATATAATGCTTTTTTTCATTCTTCATGTCAAATCTAGTTGAAATATTTCTCTTGGTTTGTCATTCAATTTCAGTAAAGAACGTCTTGTTCATGCTTTGATTTCTTTAATTTCTATTTCAACTTTATGTTCATCATTATTTAATGTTTTTGTTAATTATTTGTCACTTTCACCTTTTATAGATTAACATTTGATTAGTCAATTCAAGTTTCTATAAATATTTTATTATTGTTATTGCTTATGTAAGTTAAAACTATTATTCTATTGCACTCTCATGATTGTTTCAATATTATAAGTTTTTAGTTTTGATTTTGTTATATTTGACGCCATTTTTTTTATTTTTTTATTTCAATATCATTGTCATTTTGATTTTTTATGTTTTTAATTTGACTTTTTTTTCAGGTACTTTGTATCAATTACATCAGTTTTTATACCACTTTGTGTCAACTTGCATCACTTTTGTATTATCACAACTTATCATATTGTATTAATACATTATTATTTCTATTTATGAAAATTTAAATTAATTTTTATTTTTATGTTGCACAATTTTAGTTCATTTTGTATCATTGTTTTATGACTTTTTGTATGACATTGAACAACATGAGTAATTTATCCAAAACTTTGAATCTTTTTGTATTAATTTTGTATTGGTATAACTTTGTGGGAAAAAATCACTTCATATGACTTGCTGAATTGCCAATTTGACCTTATTGTATCACTTGAACTTTGCTATCCCTGAACATTTCATAAGAGTTAGATTCGTACATTTGGGCTAATTTTCATATTTATTTATTATATTGTTAATTATTTGATTAATATTAATTTATGAAACAGACATTCCAATGTATTAGAAAAAATAGTTAAAAAAAAAGCATATAAATTTGACAATATTAATTTTGTAATGGTATAACTTTGTGGGAAAAAATCACTTTATATGACTTGTTGATATGCCAATTTGACCTTATTGTATCACTTGAACCTTGCTATCCCTGAACATTTCATGAGAGTTAGATTCGTACATTTTGGCTAATTTTTCACCCTTGATTTTTATATTTTTCAATGTTTTAATTAATTCATGTATTCAATTTAATTCATGTATTAAACAGAAATTCCAATTTATTAGTAAAAATAATTAAAAAAAAGCACATAAACTTGACAATATTTCCATTTCACTTCTAATATCATGAACAACGTTGAACATGTTAATATAATAATATAACCAGGTTAATTGTCAAATAGGCAATGTTTTATGAAATTTGTATTTGTATGTTTAGGAGCTTGTATAGCATAAATTTTTTTAAAAGATCTACTTGAAATTCATAATAATAATAATAATAATAATAATAATAGTAATTTTCAAACTATATATTAATTAAAATTTATGTTTTAGATATCCTAAAAAATATCAAAAAACATTTTGCGTACATTTTCAGAATATTTTTTCTTCAAATTAACAATATCAGCTTACTTAAATGAAAATATATAACTAAAAATATAATCTATTGAATTAACGATTTAATTTTAACATACAATTTATGCAGAAAAATCTCCAAAATTTGAAAGATTTTAGCCACTTCTTTGTATAAATAGTTGTTTAGATCTTGTAGTTGACTAGAAATGCGGCATGTTTGTAATTAGTCAATTCACTGACTTTACAAAGAATATAACTCACACGACCTAAAGAATGTAATCTATTAACATTTGGAAATTACTTTGACAAAAGCATAACTGTCAACAACAATATATAGACAAAGATGTAAGGTTTTTTTGTTTTAAAGATTGAAACCCTGACTTTTGAAGCTTTTTGAGAGTTATGTTTTGTGATTTGTTTGCGCAGAATGTCATCTCAGGGTGATTGACGTGGTTTAGTCTCCCCTTTCCGAGATCTTTGGTTTATTTGTATGAGAAAGAACCATTGTTTGATTAAACTATACAAGGTACAAAGTCCAATAGATATAGGAAGAACATAGATACCGTGAATACTGAGGCAGTTGAACTTGTCATAATCAAATGACATAGAGATGACGATTGTAATGGAAGAAGGAGAAAAAAGGAAAACCTAAGTGACTGAGCAAGATGTTCTAAATTTCGAACAATTCTGTAGATCTTAATAGAGTTATTGGACTAATAATGCACTTTTGCATTTGGTATAAAAAGTTATGCGACCTGCATCAATCACAAGAAGTCTCCAACTGTATACACTTTAAGAATAGGATTTTCACTTTTCCAAGTATTTAATGTGAATTTGACACAGATAAAATGTCGTATTTCCGGAAGCTTTCCATTATCCAGCGTTCTAAACCTTCTAAAGCAAAGAAAAAAAGCATTGGTTTGTATTTCTCCACAGGTGTAGCTTCAACAGTGGTACCTTCTTCTACCCGTAATTAACATGTGTCAATAGTTTATACGTCTTTCGAACTTTTACCAAGAATCGATGCATGACATCGTTTAGTTTACACTACGTATGAAATACTAAACTAGTCTATCTGCAAATACCGTTCTACATATTCCATACGGAATTGTTGAAGTTATGATGGTTTGTCCAGCGTTGTGTTATCATGGTTTGTCTCAGACACATTAGCTTTATTATATTGTAACTCCGTTGCTTGACTTTTAGCACGAAGGCAAACGATGGGTCTGACGGGGACGTGCCGCAGACTCGCGAGGCTCGAGACATGTCGTTCAGAGTCCCTCACAGACGTGACGCTAGGTACACGTTTCCGACTGATGTTCCGTTACTGGTCTGACATTGATGATCGGTTTGCCCCAGACGACACACGCTCTTGCACTATTCATTCATGGTGGGTGCTCCTCGTTTGGAAGTTTCTTCTTTATTCGCAAGGCGATGGTATTGGATCGTCCCACCAATATCGTACGTCGAACGTGGACAAGGTCATAACTGGAGCAGCGCCAAACTGATGAATTGCAGACGACGTGCCTTCGCTTGTACGGAACCCGTCGTAGTCAGCGCCATCGCAGCCATGAATCATCCACCTTTACAAGTCAACGTGTGTACAGTATTGCCTTCGCACAGGACCTGTTCTCGTAGAAGACCATGTTCGGAGCTGGGTGTTGGATTGCTCGCTTGCGGCAATTCGATTCAGAATTAAAATTCATTTTTTTAATTGAGTGTGGAACTTTGTGCAGCTTTGTCTCCTCTTAGTACACAAGAGGATGTAACAGTGATTAGAATTGCTGCGCATCTTCGTCAGTGGGAACTGATTGTTTGTCCCACTCAGAGTGTAGCATTTGGGTGCTGTGCAGGTCACTGAGATCTGATGTGGCCGATCACGCGGGACTAAGAGGGACAAAGAATACAACAGCGGGCATTTCGAGTTGTAAAAAAGCCAGTACTTTATGTACATGAGAGAAAGTGTCGGAAAGTATATCATAAGTAGTCCAAAGGACTGGTGCACATAAGAATGACAGCATACCCTTAGAAAAGTCGATCATCAGATACAGCCAAACGAATTTCTTCGTAGACAAGGTTCGATACCTATGAGCGCTCAGTTGTGCAAAGTAGAATCAGTTACAATTACAATCAATCGATGGGAGATATTTACTAGGAATAACTTTCGGACCAGACGAGCGAAAACCATCGCGGACATTTCGTCATTTTTTGCTTCAGAAGACTGCAGGCGTAATGTTGAAACAAGAAATTTCCTCAGACCAACCTCAATCTGGAAGAGAAATCTGGCCGCGAGAAATCATGCTCTCGCCACTTTCATGAAATCCGTGAAACTAGTCTCGCTTTCCTTTACACAGAGCTCAGACCTCAAGAGTTATCGTCCGATTTCTGAGATGCTCTGGAGTGCCGGCCGCCATTGGCCAGATCTGCTAAAGGAACGCATGGTGTCAAAAGTTCTGCCCGTGAGTTGCGCACCAAACTTTTTTTCTCCATCATCTTCGTCGGCATTCTGCAAGAGAGAAAACCTGGCACCTGCATTAATGACACTGGAAAGAGATCCTTATGCTTCGCTACGTGTTCCATAAATTTATTCACTACGTGACAAAGTAACATGTATTCATATTCCACTGCCTCTATTATTACTGTACGTTCTTGTAGTCTGAGCCGTCAATTGAATTTTGGAGTTTGCTCAGATATACTTAAAGCGACCTCCGAATTCTTCTCGAGAGAGTGCGCAAAGCAGATGGTCTACATCACGTTATCGGTGAGTTTTGGACTCGCTGCAAATTTTTTATCCTAAACATGTTATACGCATCTAAATGCAACTGAATCCCTCGATCCATTATTTCATCCGAACAACCAATCGAATCTAGATTATTAAATCTGACTAGCACGGTATCAAAATACGCTAACATACATCGGATCGTGGGACTCACCGGTTCCATGTTTTCTTCGTCGTCGTCTACACCGCATGACAAATGCTCCGAATGAACACGTTTAGACCTTGAACCACCGCTACTCGAACGACCTCCGAACCTTTTCTTCTCTGACATCTCTAATAGCACATCTGCTCATCCGGAAAAATGAAAAAAATAAATTAACCTCGGGTAAGGAGGAACATTGATTGCTTCTGTTCATGTGTATCACAATCTCCATCAAAAGCTGCGTTTCTGACACACTTTCTTTGCAGCCTTTTTGCCTTCGCTAAGAAAGGTAATCCAAGTATGAGACTCTGAACAAGGCTCTTGACACTCACTCTATGTGCAATTCATCCATTCAATTCCACTTGAAAAGGATCTACAGAGATACTGCATCCAGTGCTCGACCCAAGGCGGTCAAAACTGGAAGACGAATACCACGGCAAGGAGATGCATCGACATCTCGAAAGTGAAACATGCTGACGATTGAAGGTCATCACAGCTGTCTCTTCTCAATCCAGATTGCGGACAACAGGAAGAACCCCATGAAACCATCAAACAATCAAACAATCTCTCTCTCTCTCTCTCTCTCTCTCTCTCTCTCACAAAAACATTGAGCTGATGAGCTGATGACCTTCGAAGGAGATGAGTCGGTAGTGTTGCCCGACTTGAAGCATGCCATGAGGAGGCAGAAGTTTCATTTGGTTGCTAGGTGGAAAAGGAACTTCAGATTTTCGAGAAGTCGGGATTCGTGGCGGAACCAGCGCAACGTAGTGGCCAGGATACTGCAACATGACTTGACGTGCTGCCACACTCCAATAGAGGCGCTCTACTTTACCATCTGGATGTTCTACGGTGACTCCCACAGCATCACCAGCTGCTTGACAGTTCCCCATCCAGGCTTTATGCTTCACCTCAATGGAAGTTCTCGGCTAATTTGAGCACTGATTGACGCAAGTGAAGAACCTGGAAGGAATGAGTCAATTCCACCATTGTCAGTCACTCCAGTGGTTTCACTCGCCTAGAGCATTGGATGCAAAGATGGAAGGAAAATTCCAGACTGAGTTTTTGCAGGTCGAGAAGCACCAAACACTTACGAGACCTTCGACGAAGTGTGTCATGCCAATTTGCATGTACAAGATTCTTCAATTCGACAACAACCCCGCGAGTCCCTCTCCCAAAGACAGCACTACGCATCTGCATCCTCAACCTGGCCAACAAAACTCATCTCGCTGATTCCGACGAACGCGAGTGCGAGTGAGGAAAATCAAGCCCAAGCTGGACCACGTTCCGCATGGCTCCTCACAACCACCGCATTGAAGTCACTTCACACCTCGCAGACGAAGCCTCAGTACGAAATCTCCCTTCACTCTCACCACCAGAAAAGAAGGTGGATTTCAACCCACGGCCGACGCAGACGTGCAGCAACTTCTCCTCGTCCTCCAGCAGCAGCGGCAGCAGCACAAGCAGGGCAAGAGCAAACCGCCTGACACACTCCACTCCGAACTCGACCTCTCTTATTTGAATTCCGTATGGAGTGATTCGAATCCCCGTGGTCCAATCAAATGCGCAGACAGCAAGCAGCCGGCTGCTCACGGAGGCTCGGAGGAAGCGAATCCCGCAGGACGAAGAAGAGTCGGGGCAGATTTCAGCTCCGACGGTTCGACCAGCGCACGAATCTCGGATCCATCGCTGCCGAGCATGAAGGGCCGATAAGAAAGTGTGTCGGACCGATTCGACGACAGTCCACCTTTCCCACGACAGTCGCTGCCCGGCCGATGGCGACTAGAGAACAAGAGCCGGTAGGTCCAAGTCATCCGCTGCTCACCAAACACGGACGCATTTATTGCGGGTCCGCAATTACCCTAATCCAACGTTTTCAAATCCCCCCACCCCACCTCCTCCTTACACTCCTTACACTCTCCTTACCCGAGGCTACATTCCGGTCCACTCCGCCCGCCTCTTCCGCTTCCGCAGCTACTGCGTCCACATCCTCCCCACCGAGTAAGTTACTGCGTTACGTTACTTCGCTACTGCGCTGAGGAGACAAGGGTTGCCTTGCCACCTGGCGCCGAGACGAGGCCTTCCGGGGCAGTGGCATGGACTGCCGAGGCTTGCCCTCATCATGGCAAGTGGCGTCGCGTTCGAACTGACCGTTGCACCTATCGGTCCAGCGCTTACACGTTGGATTAAATGAGCTGACGAGTGATCGGAAATAGGTAAGAAGGTGAACATTCCGTGGGCTTCGGCCATTAAGCGAGTCCAAGTCGGATCGTATGGTGCTTTGGTCTCGTGATTATTTTTATTTTTTTCGCTCGGGTTTTCTTCGTGTTTCGTGTTGTTGGCTGCCAGTATTCTGTAATTATTGACTACTTCAGATGAGAAGTAGGAGTATCTGGCTCGATCAAGAATTTAACGTTTGCAATGTGGGTGTGATCTCTAGCATTGTCACTATGACGTGTTGCCACAAAAGCCAAGAGTTTTGGGAACGCGGTTCCACTTAGCGTTAAGAAAATTAAAGCGCTCTTCCAAATTAGAGTAATTTTGAATTCATATTTTCGAGAATAAAGCGTACCATCTACTTTCACGTTTCTGGGTAGTGTTCATGTGCTTTACTCTCGCGATGGGTGTTATCATTGGCAGGATATTTTTAGTTTACATGTCCTAAAACCTCATCTTAACTATTTGACTCCACTTTTCCGACGCATGGTTGACTCTATTGTCTTTAAAGAACTTGCCTCAATTATCCCATAAATGTTCCACATACAAAATCCTCTTTTAATGGTTCGAGCCATGGTTTGGTCTCACTTGAAATGTGGATCATTACAGTAGATAGAGGATTGGCACAATAATTTAAATGAATGAAGACAATCGATTATGAATTGAGCATCACAACATATCTTCATTTATTAGACGGTAATTTCATTTTAGATCTGTTTGAAATTCACGTAATGTACACCGTTTATTTTTGAAATTGCAGATTGCAATAACCAAATATTTTGTTTGTTATTAAATGTTTTTGTTTGAACCTTCACTTGCTCTTAAAATATGTGAGTTATTGGAATTAGATAAAGCTGCCATAAACTGAAATGTCAGCTTCATATGTGGTCCGATTCTGATTTCGTCTACACAGAAATCTACATCCAATTCTGTTGGGTGTAGCTGATATGTAGGCACAGGAATATCATGATATTCAAAAATTCTCTTGACCATTGTTTGAAATATTTTTCAATAGTTTCATAACAGTTTATGATCGTCCACATTTGCATGTATGGTGTTCAAATGATTTCATACATGCAAATAGCTTACAACCAATACCGTCAATTCTACGTTGATGTAGATGCTGATGATGTGTTAATCTCATTGTAAGAACACTTGCGTAGGTAGCACATGAATTGAAGATGGTTTACAGAAAAACTTTTAATTTATGCTAGTTTTATTAGAGTCATATGAGTGTTTCTTCTTCATCATGACTGAAACATAATATTATCATGACACTCAACAATTGTACTCTTAAATATTATTCAAACTTCGTATGGAAATGCTTTTTAAACTTGTCATGCTCTTACAACAATTCTAGAGTTTTCAAGTCTTCATAAATCATTAAATCACAACAAAATTCAGATTTCAATCTATGAAGATCATGGTATTTCTCAAACAATTATTTCCACGTTTTAAATTTTAAGCGGAAATAAAAAAAATCTACAATCTTCGATTCCAAAACAAAATTTGTTTAATCTATTTTTTTATATTCATTTTTACATCATAGATAAGATTCATATTATTATTATCCATCTATCATTTATCAAATAAAATCAAATTAGATAAACAATTCAATTTAGATTGTTTGAGATCTAAGAGTTTTATATATATGTGATGATGAGAAAAGAAATAAACTTCATAAAAAAATTTAAAACTTCTGTGAAACATATCTCTCTTATCATCATCACATATAAGTGAATGAAATCATAAATAGTCAGGTTTAGTTTATAAATTATTGAGATTTTTGACAAGTGTGACTTCAAATATTCAGAACATGCTAGTTAATTGATTCAATCATGTTTAGTGTGTGAGTATAACCAGATATCCTTATCTTAATCAATGCAAATCGTAATAGTTTTTACATAACAAAATTATTTAAATATAAATATAATTATAGAATCTAATTGAATCATTCAATTTTGAATCTGTATATATCATATAAGTTATTATATCCAGTTTTTTCAGATTATAGCCAAGCTTTTAAAATTGAATAAAGGTTGATGTGATTGCAGTGGATGTCACAAATGCATTTTTCAGTATCATACACAAAAATTTGAACATGAAATAACCATCTATATCAATGGTTAAAATAATAAATTTTTTAAGATTGGATTTTTTACATGAAAGTTTTTTTATGTAGACATTAATTAATTGAACTAGAATAGATTGAAAAATGGAAAATTTTAGATATCATTGCGGAATGTTTCAATCAGATAAACTGATAAGCAGAAAAAGTGCTGCATAATTATTTTCTCATTTGAGAATTTTTATCGCATTTAAAAAGTCCACAATAATACTTATTACATTTTTATTAACATTATGATACTTCAAAATTCATCTCAATTCTTATTATTTTTACTTCATTACTGAGTATTTTTTACCCAAAATTCTGAATCATATGATTTCATTATTATAAATGAGATCAATGGCCTTTTATAATGTTAATGCGACTGCAAAACAAAACGTTTGACTCGTTATAGACATTGATATATCTTGTTTATGTTGTGATCAAATAATAAAAGAATATGTTACTTTGTTTTGAAACAAGAAGAGTGAATTTGAATTCATATGTCATATTATCATATGACATATAAATTCAAATTTTAACATGCATTTGTTGCTATTTTTTGGAAAATAAACTAGTTTTAAACTATCAAAATATTTTGAGAATATGAATTTTAATTTAAAAATTTATTTGTGCAGAAACATAAACCAATTTTTAAGTTCATCATCAGCTGTATGCGAAGAATAGTGAAGATAACCAAAATAATTAAAAATAAACTGAAGATGGAATGGATTTGAATCATGAGAATTTAAAAGAATAATTATGTTAAGCTTTATTTATGAATATATGTATTGCCTATGATCAAATGTTTTTTTGGTTGGAAACGTCTATGATAATGATGTCTTCTATTTATATGCAAGTTATAAAAATGTAGAAGTTGAACGCTAGAATATATAAAGCTCATGTTAGATTCTATAATCAGATTTGGAAAAATATACGATATTTTGTAAAAAAATGGAAAAATTCCATCTTCAACATTTATGTATTACATTGCATTTTTATAAAGTTTTGGCGCCTCGAATAACAATGTTGGCAACCAAGGTCTATTATCGGTCCGACTTTTCTTCAATAATTCGGGAAAAAATGACACACCAATTTAGACCAGGCTCCTAATCAAGGCATGCAAGCATTCAACAACTATTTCGAATAAAGATAGAAACACGCTGATTAAAAACTCGAAAACACTTTGAATAAATCCAAAAAGTCTGAGGTGAGAACACCCAATAAACACTTGCACCTTTATTCTGCTGCAAATTCTTGAATATACTGCAATAGTTGTAAGGTGACGAAGGAGTTGCGTAGGCCGGGAAGTTGGGCCATCGAAATTGGCATATCTGATCCAGAATACATCATGAGCGCCATGGGACCTCCGAGATCGGCACCGGGTAAAGGTGCAAGCTTTACCCGGTGAAAGCACTGGGCACAGTAGCTCGATGGTTGCGTTCACTCCATTTTACTGCCTCCTGTAGATACTCTCTCATACACATGATTGGACCTTAACAACAGTTGCAGGCTTCTTTATCCGATCGTATGACTTTCTGGATTAGTGACTTGGTTGTTACAGCTACGAGTCACCGTAAGTGCTGATGCAGCTCAAGTGTAAAACTCTGCTGGTCAAATCTGCAAAACCTGCAAATTATATAATTAATAAGTCATGGGAGTTTGTTGTGATGCTGATCGGTGGACTGTAGACGGTTTGTTGCATATTACCAGTGGGTTTGACATGTTTGTCAATGCACGAGTCAGGATCTTATAGTCCATGGACGGTTCTCCATTGACTTTTCCACAGTAGTTGTCCTGCACCTTTGTACATTGCTTTTACTTTCAAATCTACAGGAAACTACTTTTATTACTGTGACACTTTGACGGTCACGTTCTGTATATGGTCTTTACCAATCATGTCAATGATTTGCTTTCCATCATGCTTGTTCCTCATGAGGTTTTTATCTTCGACCCTCACCATATACTGTACCAGTTGGCCCTCAGAAATTAACGCAGTGAGCACCATAAATGTGGGGATGTGATATAGGTGGAAAAACTGTTGATGACGTACACAACCTTTTGGTGATAAAGTATTTCAGCAGCATCTTGCATGTAGCTCAAATATGATGGATTTTGCTTTCACATAGACATGACTTTCTGATAGCAAAGTCTGCAAAAACAAACCTGCTGATGGGTAGAAGGAGACCTATTCAACTAGTTTATGAAACTTACATAATATTTTGCACATTATTCTGGATCCTTCAAGATTATAAATTCACGCTTGTACACAACGTTGAATAATGATACATATGGAATAGACTCAAAACCATGTACGAGCCAGGCTCGTGAGCATCTTGACTCTCTCACACTGTCGAGACTGACTGCATGTGAATTCTATTTACATGCATCTACCTTCTCGATTCTCTTGGCTATTAAAAAATTACGTGACATACTCTTGATCCAAGATACAAGTATGTTGCCTATTGAAAGCTGT